ATTCTTTTTTCTGTTGCTGCTGCAGTAATTCACATAGAGTGTGCTTGGGTGGGCTAGGGGAGGGGAAACAAGTTATAGGTTTGTGTGTGTTTTGTGCTGTAGAAGCAAATGCATTTCTGAATATCTGCCCGTGATTTTTTTCTCAGTGCTTTCATGTGTGAGAGGGACAGATAAATGGGAAACTAAGAATGAAAGTGGGAAGGTAAAAGCAGGCACTTACCTGTGCAGGTGAGCACGTACACAATCTTTATATCCGTAAACTGCCTGTCTGTGAGGCACCACATGCGTGCGCGGGTGTATGTTCTGTTGTACAGCAGCATCCAGGTGTAAGCCTGATTATCTTCCCACACATCTTTTAACGTGTGTGTAATAAGCTGTACATACAGCTGACGTAGGTGTGTCTGGACTTTTCCCCCTTTAAGCACATACGGAGTCCTCAGTCCTCCCCATGAAAAAAATCTACTCAAAACCTGACTTTATCTCTGTCTTTAGTTTATTTTGGTTGAAATCAGAGCTCTGAAGAGGAAAAATGTAGCAGAGAGCATATATTTTCCTGCCCACTGCATGTCTGGACAGCATAGCTGAATGTATAGGCTTTGTATGCCTGGAGCTGGTGGGTGAGCTATTCAGGCCAGGACAGAAAGCCTGTCTGTGTCTTAGTCAGTACATCATTCCTGGCTCGCTTTTTCCACAAAGAGTCACCTAAATCTTTAAAGAACAGAGGCAGCTTGTTGGAGTGGAGGAAAGAAATTCTGTAGCTCTGCTAGCCCATTTTTTTTGTATCTCTTGAATCTTTCTGAGATTAAGGATGTGGTTCCAGGCATGCTGGAGTTTTTTTCTGCTTTGAAACCAAACAAAAGGGCCTAACTAAAGATAAGGGTATGACAAGGAAAGTTAACCCTTAGGTTGCTAGCAATCTTTTGGCTTTATTTCCAGCCTAATTCTGTCTGGAGTGTGACTGGATGGCACTGACTCCCCTTCTTCTGAATGAAGAAAAAGACTTTAATGTCTTCCAGCGGGATCATCAAATGGAGTGAAGCGCTGCCAAGTTCAGTCTCAGCTGCAGGCCCCAGTGATTAAAAACAGGCCTGTGCCTCGAGGAACCAGCAGATGAGGCTGTGTGTGACTGGCTCCACATTAGATTTTCCTTGCAAAGCAGGGCAGTCCCTGTCCGACCCGGAGATGCCATCATAACCTGGTAGTTTCACGGACATTTTAGTACATAGTTTGACAAACTCTTCTGAGACCTGACTGAGGTGAGACGAACACTACAGGGCTAGCAGGACACTGCTTCCTCGGTTTGCCCTGTTTTAGCCCTGGGAGGCTGAAGTAGGCGCATCTGTTACATCTGTTACCAGTGTGGTTGTGAGAGCCCTGGTGATAATTCTCCTGAGGGCAGGCTTCATCAAGGTCCCCCAGCAGATGCCCACATGAAAGATTTCTGCAAGCCTGGAACTGTCAGCATCTCCAGCTTGCCTTTGACAGTCCCTTTCCAGCCCCACTCCAAAGATAGCTCTTAGCTTCCTCTTTTATGAACCTTAGCACTACTTTCCCTTTCTAAGCCATGGACAAGTTCTGCAGCCACTGCACAGATGAACAATTTCTCCAAGGCCAGCTTTCCAGTCCCACTCTAGCTGCAGCTCTGTGCTTTTTCTCTCTAAACACCAACCATAATGCTCTTACTGCCAAAAGACTTGGCCTGAGAGCAGTCTTTCTTCTGAGCAGTATCTGTGGTGGTCCTTGTCTGTGGCTCAGCAAAAAAAAGTAGGATAAAGAAAAAACAGAGATGCAGTGTAACTGGAAAAATGTAACAGAGGAAAAGTTGCAGTTAGCAACAGACTTAGCTTGGGTGAAGTATTTGGTCTGTGCAATGCCTGGTGATCTTCTCTAGTGCTTTCCCGGAAAAATTAGGATTCAAGGTAAAGAAAATGCATAGATCTGCAATTGGGGTTGGGCTGGAGTGGGGCTGCCAAACCGAGGTGGGAGGCACCTAAGAGAGCTGGGCTGGGAGGAGTCTTTCAGCCTGGCAATGGCTTCAGAGTCATCTTCCCACAAAAAATGACCTGTGCGGATTTTGTGATCTCACTTGCACAGCCCTTCAGCCCACACTGTCACACAAGAAGAAACCCGCACTTGTGCCAATTCCTTTCACTCATCATGTGATAGATAGGTCAGCTTCATCCTCAGTCGTGTCAGTTTTGGTCTCATGCCTGGGTTTTTTTTGTTACCTATTTGAAATGGTCTGGAGGGAGGTGGAGCAGTATTGCAGTGTAAGAATATTTCAGTGCCTTTGTTTCCTCCAAAGATCGTTATTTTTATCCAGGAGAAAAAGGTGTTACTGACCTCAATGTGCGAGAAGGGGGAAAGATGGGATCCCCAACATCTGGATGTGCAGCAGACAGTAATGGTGATGCTGTGCTTGTGAAGGGTCCATCTGCTGCTCCATCTGAGTCTCAAAGCAGGTCCCCTTTCTATCTCTGTTTCCTTAGCATCATGTTGCTTAATCTCTGTGTCAGTGGTCTCTGTTTGACTGTAGTCCACTTGTTATTCGGAAGTCACTCACAGGTTGATTGTACCTACAGAAAGCTCCAGCTGTTGTGCTCCAAGTTGAAGGCAAGGACTGATGTTGCCTGAAATGTATTAGAGCATGTTGCTGACCACAGACCAGCCAAGGCTCGGGAAAAGTAGACAAAGCCTCAGTGGAGATTATGCATGCAGTTGTTCTGTGTGTGCTCGCTTACGTGTGTGTCTGACACTGCCTTTGTCCTTGATCTGAGTTAAGTCTAGAACACCAGAACATGAGCTTTTAGAAAAACATTATATATGTTTTATGCCTGGGGAATGCAGAGCATTTACTTCTTTCCCACACTCTTCTCTAAACAGACACATTAGAAAACAGGGTTGTGATTCAACAAGTAGAGATCTGAGAAAACAGGGCTGCTATTGCCCTGCTGCTATCTACCACGGGCTGACCTCCCTGAACCTATATGTCTTGCATCTAGAAGAGTGAACAACATGTATCATTTAAAGGAAATAGATATGCCCCATCATGACAGCAGGGATTATGTGATGAGATTACCAAGCAACCTGTGCAAAAGCAGAAAGACATTCCCTATCCTAGAATGTAACTTCAGAGACACCCAACTCAGTGAAAATTCAAACAGATTAGAAATGAGAACTAGTAAAACCTTTACTCTGCAATAAATCCAGTATATACAGTGATAAAGATAAGTCGCTCCCATGCTCCGGGGCATGCCCTCCTGCCAGGATGAGGGAATTTCCTTTGAGACTTTTCATGGCCCTCCGGCTTTGATACTGTAATGCAGTTGTGTAGGCTGTGGTGTAAGGAAGGTTTCTGTCTTCTAATGTATAACAAACAGGCAGGGAAAGGAAATTGGAATTCAGGATCCTCCTTGAAGCTTTAATTCTGGGAGTTGAAACTGATAACACAAGGTTTGTTTCACTGAGGATTCAGCAGGGTTGGACTGAAAATAGAAAGCAGGTATGGTTTGACATGGTATCTTCTATGAAGAACAGTGAACAGGCATTAGGAAGCTTCCTGCCAGAAGTTATCAGCCTCTCATGAATATAGCACTAAAGTAAAAATGGAACACGTGGTCACTAGCGGGAAGGTAAGTAGAGCCTTAAGAAATGACCAAATTCCCTGGCCTGGTATAAGCACATAAGTGCAGCCATTAAACACTGCATCTGGCTATTGGTTGTGGAACAGTGTAAGTCCAACATTGCATGCTGCTTTTTTTTTTTTTTTTAGAGCTGCAGGTTTAACTACTGAATGAACAATCTGAAGATCTTGATATCTGTAGAGAGCTTCCTCTTGCTTTGAGAAATCTTTAAATAGAATTTCCTATCTGCTGTGGTCTCTTGTCATCTGAAATTCAGTAAATTCTGGGATTCCCTCACTTACTGAATTTTTATGACCAAAACGTGATTAACTTGGATGCTGTCTTCCATGACTCCACCACACGCTGTGGAGTGTTAGAATTAGAATTTCAGAACACAACTCAGTGGCTGTCCTTTTACATGGAGCAGTTTCCTAGTGGCAGGAATTGAACTAAGACCTCTGGCTCTTACAGCCTGAACTCCTTGTTGTCAAAAGATCTGGTGCCAGTAGTGGCATTCAGCAGCTGCTATTGGCCAGGAACTTCATGTTCCCCAAAGAAAGAGACAATGCTTCATACCTGATGATGTGTGTCTACAGTAGATCTGACTTAAGAATTAACCTAGGCCGGTCTCGTTTTAGGGTATCTGGTGCTTTTGATATTTCCAAGCTGCAAGAAATATAGCACACACTTTTTAGTAGAAAGGGCAATGGATTTTGCATGCGTTTTACTGTTATTTGTTTTTTTGGGGTTTTTTTGTTGTTTTTTTTTTTTTATTTTCATTCAGCAAGTTTAATTAAAGAAAAAGATATAGAAAGGGTCTCCCAAGATGGTGGGAGATTCTCACAATAGCCAGTTCTAATGTTGACAGCTGTACTCTGCAGTGTTAGCAATCCCTTCCTAGTGGGGTTGCTGCTTGTAGGGCTGGCTAGCTGCAAACTACTGGAGGGCAGCTGTGTGAGAAGAGCCTAAGAGGAGAGTGCATGCAGAAAGGAAATGAGTCCCATAAAGTCAGTGTAGCCTTTGTTTTGGTCTTCTTAGGACAGAAGATGCAATAAAAGTGTAATTACTTGATTCAAACTCAGCACAGATGTGGATTACCGTAAGCATAATCTTAAACCCACCTTCCTTGTGTATGAGATATGAACTAGCTTAGGGCAGAGGATAGTTTGAAGCACTCCTAAGAAGAGGAAAAAAAATCATTCATCATATAATTCTTGCTTTTAAAAATAATTTTATTCTTCAGAGTCTGTTAGAAACTGGGCCTTCACGGAGGCTCCCCCCTCCATGTGAAAGTTTCCCCCCCTTGTAAGCCCCGAGCAGTAGCTCAAGAGGAGTTTAAGCTGACACCCAGATGTCTTTCTTGCTCTCTGCTGTCAGGGATCTTTGGACAGCGGTTGGAGGACACCGTACAGTACGAGCGGAAGTATGGCCAGCGCTTGGCCCCGCTGCTGGTGGAACAGTGCGTGGATTTTATTCGGGAGCGAGGTCTTACAGAGGAGGGGCTCTTTCGGATGCCTGGACAAGCCAACCTTGTCAAAGATCTGCAGGATTCTTTTGATTGTGGAGAGAAACCCCTCTTTGACAGGTGAGTTGGCATCACCAAATTCAGGCTAGTGTATTTCTGACATGTAAAATCTGCCAGGAATGTCCTTGCAGTGGCTATCCTGGCTTATGTGTTCTTTCCACACCACCATTCTATTTATTTAAAATGCTGATGGAGCTTTCTTGTGCATGGTGTTGGGTGTGGAGGCCTTAGCTCAGTGCTTGAGCAAAGGGAAAAATGGGCTCATTAATCTATATGGGGCTACTCCAGTGTTTCAGCTTCAGCATGTGTTGAATGAAAAACATTACTAGATGTAGCATACTGTGCAGTTGGTGGGATCCCCTCATAGAAAGGGGTATGACAGGGGTGAACCAGGTATTTCATTGCTTTCAGATGTTGCATTCTCCCTTGTCACAAACACAGCAGATCCGCCTGGGGCAATAGCTCGACTCTTCCTTTGTCACCAGGTTTCAGAATAGTCACCACCATCTCACACATCTTCCCTGTTATGCCAGAGACTGTTATGCTCAGCTTAGTATCCGTTCCCACGGGAAGTGTCAGACCTGTCTCTGAGCGCTCCATCCAAGGGCAGCCAGGGAAGGGACAGCTCTCAGCTCTGCTATCTCTATGTTGGCCCTGAGCTCAGGCAGTCAAATGATCAGAAAGGTGAATGCTCTCAGGGCCCTTCCAGTCAAATCCTGTCCATACCCTGTAACTAACATTTCCTCTACTCTGTCACATGTACGTGCTGCCCAGAGTGAAGGTCAGCATTGTGCTAACCTTAATAATGCTTTGTGAAATAGGGCTGGACCCTAGCAGAGAACATTCAGGCATATTTGGATCCAAGGCCATTTTGTAGATCTGGCCTGATCCCTGTCTCGCAGATCCATAAGTGAGATCAGATCTGGGATCTTGTCTTGGAGACCTGGCATCATTTCTTGCTGGAACTCACTAGCACCATTTTTCCAGGTGATGCAGGTGGCATCTGATATATTACAATATATCTGATATATAACCTTAGGGGATCACTTCCCTTGGACCTGCAACCACTCTCAACATTGCCAATAACTTCTCTGCCTGCTATCCAGGAAGAGCTAGAACTCTCCTGCGTGGGCAGAAACAGTATTTGGTCTCATCTTGGGAAGAATATCTTTGGAGTTTATTTGGAACATTCTTCTAATTCTTCCCTTCCCTCAGCTTCCCAGACCACCCATCCTCATTTCTTTGATTCTTAACCACAGACAGTATTTGCTCCCTAAATGGATGTGTCAAACATTGAGAAATATTTTCATGAAAAAATAGGTTTGAAATCATTAAATTGTCTTAAAAAATTTTCTTAGAAAAAATCTTTGTATTTTTAATTGAATGTCTGGGTGTTCTTGTTCAGAATTAGAATTATCTTAATTGAATGCTTATACACCTTCAATTATACTCCTGTGGAACAGGAGTATCTATGGAAGGAGTTAATTAGGAATGACAGTTTCAATTTCATGTTTTACTTTAGTGTTATCTATACGAACTTCATTGCTACAAAGATAAACCAAGCCTCCACCCAGCATTTTTAAAGCAGAATAGAACCCTAAAGATGATCTTGTTTCAACCCCCTCCCATTGGCAGGGACACCTTTCACTAAAACAAGTTGCTCGGAGCCCATACAGCCTGGCTTTGAACACTTCCAGGGATGACATCCACAGCTTCTCTGGGCAACCTGTTCCAGTGCCTCACCACCCTCGGCACTGATCTATTTAGGCAGTGTAAATGCCTATGAAAATAAAGGTGCTTTCTGCATCTAAGTCTCCCCTTTAACTAGAGATCTCCACAAAGGAATGCCTGCCTTTCAGGTAGTCGATGTGTGATATGATAACTGAAGGTTCAGTACAGAATTAAAGGAAGCAAGCCTGGGGTACCTGACTGGTGTGATACTTGAGAGTCTCCCAGTTATTGCCTTTTGCTTTTTCCACCATGTCCACTGCAACTTGCAGACCCAGCTCTCTCTGGTCTTGTATATATATAATCTATCTTATGTATATGTATAGTCACAGATAGCAACAAGGGAGAGGCAGTTACACTCTGGCTAAGTGAAATGTTCCTCCTCCTAGCTAACGTAATTTTCTCTGTGTGTAACTAAAACTATCTAGGTATGGCCTGGAATGCTTAGGCAACAGAAGTGTGAAATCTTTATGCTTCTTTCCAAATCAGGTGTAGTGAAAGGAATATCCTTTCTTATTTCCTAGTTGCAGTCAGCACTTGTAGGTGTCTTTTGTAACTACAGTGATCTTCCAGACAGACAGGGCCTGCCTGCCCCATGGTGGATCAGATCTCTGTGATGACTGATAATTAAAATATTTATTTTTAAAAGGCTTGCTTTTCCAATTTGGGTTTTTAATGCATGTGCATGTTCTTATGAAAGGCCAGGTGTTGCTCTTTTGGAAGCACCTACAGCAGTCTGCTCCTATTGCGCTTTCATGCCACTGAAAGTTTGGCTGGATTTCACATGGCATCATGGATGAAACAGTTACTGCAGCCAGCAGCCCTGAAGCTGTAGTCTGGGCTCTGCTGCTCAGTGATAGTCATATCCACCATCCCTGCGTGAAAGTCTGCACTAAAGAAAAAAAAGAAAAACGAATAATGGTACTGATCTCATTTGTAGAATGTTTATAATCAGCTGAAGAAAACCACTATGTGAAACTGTGGTATTCTCAAATATGATGGAGCTGTTTAATAGGAATAGCTTTAGCAGGATTAGAAGCAAGTGGTATCTGCTGACAGCTTCCTGTTGTAATTTTTCCAGTTTTGTTTTAACCATGTGTTCCAAAAATGCTTAAAAGTATACTAAGTAGAAGAGATTCAGATTTTGGATAGCAAGAGAGATTTGAAGTTCCCTTGCCCAATGTTTATGATGTGTTTTTCTCTTCCTTAAAGACCGCCAGAATAATGGTGGGTAGGGAGGAGCTGGTGACAAAACCTGTTTAGACTTCCAACACTCAAAACCTTTGTGGAGGTCACCTGCAATGATTAACAAAGTTGTAAAACAGGAAACTTGAAATGAGGGAGAGGTATTGCCATACACCAAAAGCTGGATAGCTGGAAAGGGAAGAACAGATGCATCTTCATCGTGCTATGTAACACCTCAAACCCAACTTAAAGCAAAGGAGAGAAAAGAGGAAAAAGAAGTTCTGGGGTTGGGAGAGAAAATAAAAGCCGATATCCTATCATAACAGATGTGCTAGGAAATGCCAGATACCCCAGTCTGGGGGAGGGGATGTGACCCACAAGCCGGGCAGCCATGCCAAATGGCAGTAGAGGACCTGGAGGAAATACAGCTTCCTCCATTTTTTTCCTAACGATTGACTAGGGCACTTGGGAGCCTAGCCCATCACATGTATGTGTGTGCTGGCTGGGGAGAGTATCAGGAAGGATCAGTGGGAGGCTAAGAGCTTATGGAATCAGGAGCTGAGCTCTATTATCAATGCTGTGTGTTCACTGTGCACTTGCCTGGACTGTATTGCTCGCATTCCTGATCCACATTGGCCGAGGAACCGCAGTGCCACCCTACCTGAAGCAGTATCATGGGCATATCCCTTCCACTGCCTGTGTTGCCTCAGGTGCATTTATATCTTGACAAAATGGGAGATTTCCCTTGTTTCCAGGTAGACCCTCCTGTCTAGTACAAACATGTGGTGGAAGAGCTTCCTTCCATGTGCCTACTTTGTCCCTGTCCCTAAGAGGGACCTTGATGCACCCCAAGTGAAAGGCATCAAACTTTACAGTAATGCAGGTTTCTAAATTTCCTTCCCTCTTCTCTGTTGCAGCAACACAGATGTTCACACTGTGGCGTCCCTCCTGAAGCTTTACCTTCGAGAGTTGCCAGAACCTGTCATCCCCTTTGCCAAATATGAAGACTTTCTTTCTTGTGGACAGCTACTCTCAAAAGATGAAGGAGAGGTCAGTGATCCTTCTAATCTGTCTCCTCCTACATCAGAAGTTGTTCCCCAGATCAGTGTAGTATAATTTTTTTTCTCATCATTCTTCAATCTTGATTTAAATCAGTGAAGTCCCTGGGAACCTTCCTCTGAATTTTCCTGAAGCTGTGAATTGGGTGCTATTGTCACAGGCTATTGCTTGAAGCAGGAGCTTTTTTTGAAGTCAGTCTTGTAGCCTAGTGCTTCTTTTTTCTAAACAAAGCTGTTCTGTAGCATAATCAGCAAGAGATGCAAGGTAGGAAGGAGGTATGGGTTCCTTTCCCAGCCTTGCTGTTAACTCATTAGCAGTCTGTATAAAGTCACTCCCTTTTCCTGTGTTTTCCATTTTAAATATCAGAACAACATATTCTGCTTCCCAAAGTTTTTGGTGGATGAGACAGTGATAAGTGCAATGGCCTTTGTATTTCTTAGAGGAAAGGCACTACAAAAGAGCAGACTACGCTATTATCCCCAAATGGGGGGGGAAATAATGCTATGAATACTTTGCCAGAACCTTCTTATGATATTCTTCTCTTTGGTTTCCAGGCAAGGGAAGGGGCTGACAAAAATCATCAAGTCTGTGGCAGTCATGGAAATTTTGATTCACTGCTTGAGAGGAGCAGGATAATTTACAATATGATTGATTGATTGGTTTCATCCATTTTGTTCTTCTTACTTTAGTCCTTTGCTGTCTGCAGAGGCACGTTGGATCTGGTCTGATGCGGTGGAACTGTGCCACTTTCTAAACCAGCAATTTAAAGAAGCTGTAAGGGCTGTTACTGGTGTCTTTCCTTTGCTAAAGAGGCAAAGGCCTGAGGGCTTGTAAGCTGCAGTCCACAGTTCTGTTTTCTGTGTGTGGTCTCAAGAGCATGCTCATCTTTGTCTTTGGTGGGATTCTGTTCTTCACTGCGAGCCTGGAGTTCACCTTCAGTTCAAGTGGCAGAAGGATCTGGGGAGATTGTCCTTCATGATGCCCATATGAAGAACCTTGTTTGTGTGCCTCAAATGTAGCATATATGGTAATATAAGATTTTATGGTTAAAAGGCAAGTTTACTGCTCTCAACACTCAAATGATGTAACCTCCAATCAGCTCCAAGAAAGCAAATTTCTGTGCATGGCACAGTATATTACCACAGGTGAATATGCATTTGCATCCTGGACACAGCCACATCAGTGTGTCAGTGCACTAGTGTTGTCTTTTCATAGGTAGAGGTATGTGTCTACTAGCTCCAAAACTTGCTCATTTTCTGCCTTACCCTCAGTGAACTCAGGCATCTCTGCAGGGTGCTGTGTTACAGACCACACAGCGGTTATTTCACAAGAAACAGCAGTACTTCTGAGGCGGTGGAGCTGGTTTCATTTTGGTCATAAGATGTGCAGACTGAGAAGTTTTGGATCCATTAAGCACTGTTGCACAAGAGTAGAGACACTGCCAAATTGGGCAAACATAATTGTATATCACTGCTCAGCTTATTAACTACGTTGTTTGCCTGATTTTGCCTGCACAGGCTGCAGCAGATTGGGAAGCAACATCTGTGTTGCTTCTGTGGGAGCAAGGTCAGACTCAAATGACTTGTAGTGCAGAATTCTCTTTGGATGAGAAAGGTGATGGGGAGCGCAAGATAGCCAAAATGAAAGCTTACAAAATACAGCACTGGTCCTAGCACAGAGTTGTTTTGTTAAGCTGCTGTTGTAAACATAAGCAATTTTATTTTTCAACAAAATCTGGAACCTTAGCAAGGACTGTTTACTTTTTCAGAAAGGAAGGTTGGAGTGCCCACACCAAGGGTGGAGATGCTGTACGTGCACAGTAGCATGTGGAGCAGAATGTAGCACAAAGTCATACCTAGCCTGTGGGGCCTGACTCGCCGCCTCCCACATGGAAAATCCCCCTGCCTAGAAACTGTGGTTTCATTGAAACCATAATTTGTAACACATAATGATAAGCAGGGAATTTAAAAATCAAAACATATTTATTAAAGAATAAAACATTATTTAAAACAATTATCTCCATTGTTGTCACTGTTAGAACAGCATGGTGTTTAGTTTGAAGTACTATTTTGTTTTCATTTTTTACTTGGAACTTGAAATATCAGTTTCTTTAGTTTTACACGCCCACTCTCCCCCCCTCACCCAATAAAACCAGAACTGCTCAAGGCAAAATAACCATTCGAATAAAACTTTTGGCACCTTGTGCTGCTACATTGTGATCGTGGATAGAAATTACTATGATTTTAGCTTGGCCAAACTCCAGCACTGTGCTAAGCTTTCCATTTTTCATTCAAATTGCTTTTCATCTCTTCGTTCTGTATCCAACTCATCTCTGGTATTCAAATGCAAACAGAAACGTAACAGAGACCTTAGATTGTGCTGAGGTCTCCAGGTATCTCAGCAGGACTGCAGCATTAAAAAAGATTTGATTCTGATCCCGATTGATTTGGAGAAGGGATCAAAAATTAAAAACAATTTTAGAGAAAGAGAGATCTTCAAATTTCTAAAAACTCATTTGAGTCTGAGCTGACTTGACATGGTAGTATTCAGCCTTCACTGCTACCTGTACTCTAGAGTTGCACAGCAGTTCAGTGGATTGAACACATGGCTTTGAGTTTTTAAAGAGGGATCTGAATTTGGATGAACATCTAAAGTGTTACTAGTTTTCCAGCCAAACTAGAAGCTCCAAATTGGTGCTGATCTGTTACACACAGTGCAAAACCCTTGGGTTTGGGATAATTCGTTGGAAAGCAGCATTTTCAAGGAGGTAAGAGTTATCACTGCAAAATCCCACGATGAATAACAGTGCAGTGCTTGTGTTGCTTGCTGGGCTGCAGCCATAGCATGGTCAGTGCTATTTGTTAATTCAGCGGTTTCGAGCTTGTGTTTTCCTTTACGCTTTCGCTGTGGTGTTACGAGGCTCAGCCTTCTGCCCTCTTGCAGTTCAAGTGGTTGGTGGGTACAAATCTGTGGCACAGCTTATAAATGCTGCAGTAGGAGAGAAAGCTTTTTTTAACCTGGCAGGTGTTTCTACCTTGATAAATGTGAAGATACTTTCTGTATAATACCGTGTTTGAGATTCCTTGTGACAGAGCATGAATGATAAATTTTTAGAACCTTTTCTTCTTTCAGGTAGCATCTTGTATCTTTAGGTCATGTTCCCTGCTGTTCACAGCTGCCTGCAGTTTTCTTTCTAAAGCCTCCTCTTACTTTCAGTGGAGCTATGGTATTTTAATTCAGAGTACTTGAAATATAGTGCCAAATACCATCTTGATTTCCTTATTTGAAATAAATTGGGTTACAGAGCAAAATTCAAGAGGGAATTAGGTCTGTCAGCTCACCCATTTCTAGTTCAAACTTGTCACTTGAAAGCTGGTTGACCTGAACAACTGACCTTAACCTTCATGTCAGTAGCAGCTGTTCTTGATTCAAAAATTTTCAGAAGTTAAAAAAGAAGATTTTGATTTTCAAAAGCGACTGGCCTTTTATTGCTGTCTCCATTGTTGTCACTGTTAAAACAGCATGGTGTTTAAGCTAAGGAATTAAAAAAGGCCTGCTGCTTTTAAGAATTGTGTTTTATGTTTTAGGTTTTTACTAGAGAAGTTTTTTTTTTTGGTTTTTTTTTGAGGTTTTTTTTTGTGATGGGACGTACAGAATAAAGAAATACCTATACATTTAGGACATTAAGGAGAAAGGTAGGATAGAGACTGCTCTCTGGATCTTTCTGACTTATCTGGACCAGAGAAATCAGGAAGATCTTGCAAGAGTCTGGCCAACAGAATTCCCTCCCTAACAGTCCTTAATAAATTGAGGAGAGTTTGAAATGAATGTCCAACTGCACTTCTTTGGCCTCGAACCAGTTGCTTCTGGAATGTCTCCATCATTAGTTTGCAGCCCTCTGTCGTTCATTAGGAGCTATCACTCTTCATAATTGTGCTTCGGTATCTATTTTTCTACAAAAGGTTTAATTGTCCCCAAAAATAAGCAATATCCAGGGCAACTGCAGCATTGACAGGAAGAAGCAAATGATACTTAGGACTGTAGCAGGACAATAGCCTTCTGAGTCAGAGGTTTTCATTGTATGATTTAAATAGCTTCAGGGTTTTAAGTCATTCATTCAGCTGATGTCTCATCTTACGTTTTAATGTGAAAACAGAAATTTTGTGAGGAAGTATGTTCCCGGTCAGAATGACTGCAAATAGAAGTATGTAATTAAAAGGAGGTAGTTGGAGTGTCATTTAGCTTTTTCAGGAAAAACTCTCCTCTGCTCCAGTTGAGCATTACTGCGGTGTGTTTGTACTGCACTCAGTGCCTCAAAGTTTCAAATAGGCCATGTCCTGCAAAGGCACATCTGCTGGTACATTGCCACTGATGCCAGTGGGCAGGCTTTGAAGGCTGGCAGGCCTTACTAATTGAAGGCTTCTACATCAACCATTAAAGTTGACTGGAGGATTTCCACTGAGAACTGAGTCAAGTTCCGGACATTGCGGTTTCTTTTGGTAATGCACAGTGCATTAGATGACACCTCTTTTAAAGTGAAGCGTCCTTGTGTTGTCATCTGTTGTGCAGCATTTGGCCATGGAAAGAGGACTTTGTAGTACTGAAGGAAAGTCACGTCTGCTTTGCAGCATTTACATTAATATCTCTCCTTCTTGTTTTTCCTGTCCCTCAGGGAACCCAGGAACTGGTTAAACAGGTGAAGAATTTGCCCCAAGCCAACTACAACCTCCTCAAATACATATGCAAGTAAGTGAAATTAATTAACACTTGGAAAAGTCTTTAAGTTTTGTGAGGCTTACATGCAAATAATATACTCTGAATGTATGAATATTCAGACATCACTTACGTGTAAGTTACTGCTCCTATAAAACATTCATAGGTGAACGAACAGCCTGCCTGAAGGAAGCTCTTGGTTTATCCAAGAGCATCAGCCAAGCAAATTGCTGTCACCCACAGCCTTGGCAGAAGGCATGAATGATACCAATGTTTTATATTGTTTATTTCAGAAGTACTTACAGACCACTAAAGAAGGACATTATTTCTACGTATTGCACACTTGGAAAATTTATGACACAAGCTGAGTAGCAGATGCAGTCAGAACAGCCAGTCTGGCATCTGCTCTGGTTTGGAAGTGTGGTTAGGAGTAGCTTCCTCTTGGATTCCAGGGACTCCACAGCCTTGTCTCCCCTCATCTCTGTGCTGATTCTCCCAGTTTTTGGGCTGCCTTTTTATCTGGAAGTTGGAATGAGATAATCTTTAAAGGTCCCTTCCAACCCAAACCATTCTATGATTCTGTGATCTGTATTTTGTTAAATTCAAGCCTTTTTCACAGACTGCTAGTTCTAGGATAAGGAGAAGAGTGAAATGTCTTTTTAATTCTGTTATGTCTGTAAGTGAAAACTATGTAAAGTCAATCTGTGTAATTGGAGAATTCCTATAAAAATGCAAAAAGCTGTCCTTTCAGACCCAGTAAAAGGCTGGATCCCTGCTAGATGGGTACTTCTGAGAGAAACCATCCTGTCTTCTCTAGTTCATACACTAAAAGGGATCTGGGGTAATTACTGAGTATTTAGGCTGCGTTAGTCCCCAGAATCATTTCAGGTGTCCGGGTTGTATGAAAGTAAGACTAAACTGTCCCTGCCCCAGAATGCCTATAGTCTAAGAAGTGACTTACTTATTATTCCCCTCCTCCTTTGATTTTTCTGGGGGGGCTTTTCAAGGTTCCTCGATGAAGTTCAGGCTCACTCCAGCATTAACAAGATGAGTGTCCAGAACCTGGCTACAGTATTTGGACCAAATATATTACGTCCCAAAATGGAAGATCCGGTGACCATGATGGAAGGTAGGTACTGCTCTTGTGAGACAGCACAACAGCTGTACTTTGGAGCTGCAGATCATGCATTTGTTGGTAGCTGAGCAGTAGCTGCACAGTCAGAACAAGTCAAGCCATCCATCAGTGCCTATGAAGGGGGTGTATTGGTTGGCCTCTCTTACTCCATTTGCTGCTGGTCTGGGAGTGTCTCTCCACTATGTGGAGATGCCTCTGCCACCTGGAAACTCTTTTTGAACCTACTGCTAAAATAAAAGCTCACATGTTTTTCAGAAGGACCATGCTTAAGTACCAAACTGCTGTCATTTAGCAATGGTGCATTTCAGTAGTTACACAGCAACCTGTAGAGAACATCCAGGCCACAATGAGAGGGCTGTAATTTTTGCTGTGCCACAGTGGCTATAACTAGGGTTCTTAGAAGTGTAGTTTTCTAAGCAGACTGTATATGGGTCAGAACTTCACAGAATCCAAGAAATGAGTTGAAAATCATTAATTTTGGATGTAAAATCATTAATTTTGGATGTAAAAATCTGAAACTTTAAAATCATCTGCCTCTGTATGGGTCGAGTAGGCTGACACTAGGGCTATGAAGCAGCTCCTCTCCCAGCTGGCACTGGAACACAACTACTGTGGTGCAGGCTTTAGTAGAGTCTTTGCATTGAGTTCTGTGGGCTCTTGGAAAGCCTGCACAGATGTGCAGTAGGAGGCACAGACAGAGATGCTGTGCCCAGGATGTTTGAACTTGGCTCTGGTGCTGCTCCTGAGCTGTAGGGGACAGCTGATGTGGTGTTCTGCGTGATGGAAATCCTTCACAGAACACCAATATTTTTATGCTGTAGTAGCAGCAGTGCCTTTAGGTCTGCCCAGGTGATGTGCAGATGTTGCCCATAATGGCAAGTCACTGTAAGGACAACTTCAGAGCATGTCCTGACATATTCTAGTTGTTCAGGGATTCAAAACCTACCACAGAGATGTGGACCATATTATTAAGGGTAGATTTGAGATTCCCTCAAAGTGTGGAAGGTACAAAAGTCCGGGGAGGAGAAGGGAGCGTGGGAGCACATGCTGATTATTCAGTATTAGAGAGGTGGGGACAGCGGAAATCAGCCTGTGTGTGATGCTGTAACTTCCCCTAGTGGCCACTGGGCCAGCGCTGGTGGCTCTCACAGCCTGGGCCAACAGCATGCTCTTTGTTCAGCTGGCACAGGAGACAAGTCTGGGTTCAGTTCACCTCAGGTATTTCATTATGCCATTCATCCGATGGCAGAGGTGCTTGTATTGTGTGTAGGTGCACGGGTGCCACAGATGCTGTGGTCTCCTGGTCTCTCCTAATCATCATCTAAAAACACTACAGTGATCTGATGTGAAATTCTGTATTGACGTAGATCTGAACTGTAGAAAAATTGGGATATGTAGGCTGGATTTTTTTACTTAATCATTATACTAATAACAACAGCAATAGCAATGTTTTGTTTAATTTTTAGTTGAGGATAGAAGGTTGATTAGGTAGAAATAACAGAGAAGTGTACAGACTCAATTTTTTTTAGCTTCAGGGTAATTTCAATCTGCTAAATAAACTGGTAAAGTAAAATACTGCACCCAGATCTTAACAAAAGCGCTCTAGTTGTGTCTCTCTTCAAATTTAAACCATGAATTTCAAATAGAAATATCTGAAGTTTGACAGCTAGATTGTTAGGAATGCCCTTATCTTCAAGACATTTATTTCTCTTCCTGCGTTCACAGACATAATAGAAGTGGTAGGTGAGTTCAGTACCTCTTGCTGTCAGGCCAAAATGTCATCATTAAAATCAGGCTTTTGTCTTGAACGCCTGAGTATGTTGGTCTTATTCTTTATTTTAGGTAATACTTAAAGATAGAATAGCATATTCACTCTTTTAAGGGTTTTTCTCTTTTGTAGGAAGTGCTTTGTATTAGGTTTGGTAAGTGTGGTGTTCTCTATTAGTTCATAACAGTTGGCTCCACTACTGGAAAACAATGATAGCTCATTTCTGTGGATTTAAATAATTGCAAGTACTTTCTGCACTTGCTGTACACCTTCTGTGAGTATCATGCAAATGTCATACTTTCTGCAAGTTTCTCTGCACACTGAGTGCAGCAGAAGGCCTGAGCTGAAATTTCTGGTTTCAATAAGCAGTAGCTCTGGGCCTGTTCAGACTGTAAAACTGACTGCAACCTAGCTGTGTAAACCTGCTGGTTTTGGAAGCTGGACGGAGAGGTGTTTCATCCCAGCAAATAGGTTAGTGTGTTCAGGATCTTGCCATGCATCCCTGCACAGGGCTGCACTATCCTGCGTGGATGCAAACACTGAGATTGATGCTGGCTCTGAAGCCCATGCCTGGTGTGGTACAGACCTGCCCTGTTTTCCAGGTGTCCTCCACCTCTGTCATCCTCCAAGGTCAGTTAAGCTTCCAGCCTGCTTAAGCAGGTCAGTTTATTAATCATTGCTAGTGATAATTTGTGCTCTGCTAGTCAACTACATTCATGAACTGAACTGAGACCCACATCCTTCACAGTCCCACTTTCCAGTAAAAGCAATGACTCCTGTTCCTTTGAAGTCCTGTATAGAAAGGCCCAGAGTAGCTCCTCCTGCAGACCCATTGAAAGGCATGGCAGCCACAGGCCTCAAAGGAGCTCACGGGACATCCCACAGGCTGGGGATGAGTCTGGGAGGGCTTTTCACCTCTCCTCAACTGCTTGCCTTTGTTTTCCACCCACAGGCACCTCACTAGTTCAACACCTGATGACAGTGCTGATAAGTGAACAGGGGCGAATCTTTGCTGTTCCTCAGGCAGACGTGCCAGGGAGCCAGCTGGAAATCAGGCCTGTGCGGCAGCGCAGTACTGTGGAGTGGATCTCTGAGGAGGACGGGGAGGACAGCAGGTCAGAGAACAGTGCTCCCAGCCCCGCTGATTTGCCTTCTAGCAATGCTGTGGCACTAGAGGCCACCCCAGGACCTGCAGTGAAAAACACTCCTCCAGAGCACAGTGGCAAATTAACTCAGCCTGCCACCAGCCCCAGTAAAAGAGTGCAGACACTGCCTCCATGGAAATACTCCTTCCGCCAGCAAGGAGCACGGTCTGTGAGTCCAAAGCTCGGCAGCTCATCCTTAGATATCCCCAATCTCTCCTCCAGCGGGAACTGGTTGATGAACGGACTGTACTCACTCCGAGGCCACCGCCGGACAGCATCTGGGGAGCGAGTCAAAGACTCATGTTCCTCCCAGAGACTCTCCACTTACGACAACGTCCCCTCGTCCAGCCTGTCCCTCAGCACACACAGCATGGCCAGCACTACATGGTCGACGTCGTCGTGTGAGATTTCCGTGATGGACTCAGTCAGCAGCTGCCCAGCCTGCCGGGCCAGTGACTCTTCTGCTTTAAGCTCTCTCAAAACCGAGTGGATAACTCAGGGCTCGCTGTCTCAGAGCGAGGGCAAGACTGCAGACCTGGAAAACAGCATGGACAGGTTTGATGCATGCAGCAGCAGCAGCGAACAGAGCGACCCAGCTGCAGCTTCCCGAGACTCTGTCCAATGCTCCAGGGCCTTACAGAGCTTGGTGGTGGAGCTAAAGACAGAACTGAGCAAACAGAGGACTGAGTATGAGACTAGTATCAAAAGGTAATGTCATCTGCAGGGGGGACGAGGAAGTTGTCTGCCAACATTAGCCCTGTCTGAGCATGAGCTCTGAAGGGTATCAGGATCTCAGACCTGAAGTTTGGGTTTAGATGACAGCAGATCTGGTCCTGTTTTTTCCTCACTGCTCTCTGAATCCAGCTTTTCTTTCTCTGATCTAAGAGGTCATTAAAAAAAAAAGGGGGATTTCTGCCATACAGGGAAATCCAGTATTTCACATTCTGTGTTTTCAGTGGAAATGAGAACAGCACAGGTAATACCAAAGTCTCCTCTTACTGTCCTCAGAGAAACAGCAAATCTTAGAGGCAGGAATTGGGACCCAGCATGGTCAGGCCTCAACAAAGAACTCTGTTGGTCTCTGCAGGTGCTAGTATTTGTACCAAATCAGTCTGAAATTGAGGGCTTCTTGTTGCTTTTCCCAACAGAAACATTCTTGAGGAAACTGCTCTTGACTGTTCTGCAGTGGATTTTTTTTGTGGTGTTGGGACTGCATCTCAGCTACAACTTTTTCTGCAGCCCTTTTGTGTTAAACTTCTAGAAACCTTGATTTTGTTTTTTTTTATGTAAAAAGTGGTCTTTGGCTCCTGTGGCAGCCCCTGGCTTGGAGTAGCAGCGAGCTGCAGCTTGTGCAGCAGACAGCAAACTGTGTCATTATTTGCCCACTGGTGTTTCCTTGCACAACTGCTGGTGTTATACTTAAGAGCTGAGCTCAGAAAAATTCCTCTAGTTTTCAGGAGAGCTGTGTGTGAGGACAGGGGCTGTTGTAGGAAGTAGAAAATATTAAGAACTAGGAAGTCATATTTATTCATTTGTGGGAGTTGGTATATTAGGTTTTATGAGTGTATGTGCTTAATAGAATGACTTTCAGGCAAGCACTCAGGGAAATATTCACATGAAAGCACTGAAGAAGGGCTGTAGTCCCATTTTTTTACTAATAGTGTAGTTCTCAGAGTTTGTTGGTTTTTTTTTGTGTTCAGGTGTTGATGTTATACTCCTTCAATTACTAAAACTCTGGTAGCATTTCCATACCTCAGTTTACAGTCTCCCAAACCTGGTACCAAAAGCACATATGACAGCTGGCATAGTATAGCACAGCTTCAGGCTGCATTAGTTGCCACTTTTTTCCTTGTTAATTAATTTCTCAGAAATGTATCTAACTTTGATGTCTTCCTGTGGGCCAGCTGTTAAGGCAGGAATTCTACTTGCTACCTTCCTGCTTTATTTTATGATTTCCTATGGTGGTGACCTGCCAGCCTCTGCAGCATTTCTGCCTCGTGCACTGTCCTGCCTTGGTGTGTGAAGCTGAAAAGAAAAAGAGGCTGTGTAGCAGTTTCAGTTCCATCACAGTGAGAGAAAAGTCTACCCTCACCTTGTTGTGTTCCAGGTACAGGAGCTGATGAGAAGAACATCACCAGTTGCTAGCAGGGGGTGTTGGAAAAGGTCTCTGAATGAGTGTGGTAGTTCATGGCTTATTTGGATTTTTTAGATGCCCTACTGATGCAGAATGGGAGGAGAGGAAGGTATGTGCCTTGCATTTAATTCTGCAGAGCTGCTCTGGCAAGCCTTGATGCAGGGAAAGAAAGTAATAAACAGAAACACCAGCCTGCACATTCTTACCTGCTGCCTGGGGGAAGAGATGGCTTTCCACCTCTTATTACTAAAATTGCTCCAACAGGGCCTTAAGCTGTGAACATCAGGGGCATCCAGGAAGACCTGTTCTTCATTGCAGCTGTTGAGCAGTTCCAGCTGCTTCAGCTCTAACACCTGCCTTTCCCCTTCAGCTGGACAGGGCAGAGAGCACTGTGGCTGGAGGGGAGGGCTATAAATTGCCCAGGTCTCACAGGGCAAAGTAACTGAGAGGAAAATGCGTAATGAACTAATAGTTTCATAAAACCAGGCAAGATGCAATCACAGCCTTTATGTATCAAACAGGATGACTCCAGCTGTTCAGGATTACAGCCTGAAGGATTGTGCTGTCAAGTCTAAGAATTTCAAGCCAAGTTTTTCAGCTCTCAAAAATTTTGCAATGTTTTTACTACATCTGCAGCAATTTACACGTGAAAAAATATGTTCCTTTTGAGACTGCATGAAAGTCTGTTTCTGTGGAAAGAGCTAACTAGCAAAGAAGGGAGGCTGCTTAGCAGGAAAAATTTAGGCTGCCTCACTGTCTTTATTTTATTGAAGATAATTTAGTCCCCAAAAATAATAATTTATTGCTTTACAGTTGTACATGTGCTTGTGTGGTTTGCAGAACTCTGTGTGTGTAGCAGGACAAGTTTTAATGAAAGAACATGAGCTTTTTGTTGGCACATACATAAGTGGAGTGAAAGCAGAGTCACTACCTGCCTGTGGCAGATGTAAGGAACACTTGCTGATGGAAAAGCTGTTATTTCTCATCATCAACTGCCTATTTTCTCTCTTAGTCAGAGGGAGGCAAGTTTTATGGCGTGCCTGTAACCAGCCTGTTCCAGAGCATTTCTCCCTCAAGGTTAATATAATTATCAGACATTCTCTGTTTTTAGTAATTCATGTTTACCACCTGGACTCTTTAAGAAAATGGAGAGGACTGCTATGTTGTGTATGTAGAAATGCAGTAGGTATTGTTACCCTCTGTAATTCAGAACATAGACAGCTAATCTAGGCTGCTGTAGCTGACCCCTAAATTTAGTGGTAGAAAAATATAATTGGCAGCTCAGAGCTGTAGAATGTAACAAAAATGTTTTAAAGTGTGTGTGTGGGGAAGCAACCCAGCTTCAGAAGAGTCCTATTAGGTAAGAAGCCACAGCTGGCTGGTGACAAAGGTCTGCCTTCACCAAGATGGGCCTTTTTTGCAGAACTTGGTGCAGGTCAGTGCACCTGTGTGTGACTTTCTGATTCCTTGTGGAAACTGCGACAAGGATCCCATTGCCATTTTTACCTGCATGTAAAACAATGTAAAGGAACAGCTCAAGGGGACAAACTGCACTGCCTGCATAATTGCATCTTGGCCAGTCACAAAATGGAATTCAGACCCTTCTGGCACTGCCAAAGCCCTCATTTGTTTTTGTTTGTTTTAGTATGGAGTCAGTAGCATGCCCTTGTTGAGTATAATTTACTCTGTCTAAAAATAACCTGTTCACAGTTTCACAGAAAGGTAAGCTTCACAGCTGGGTATCGGTGAGAGCGGGGACTGGTTTCATGTTTGGGGTTTTTTTGGTGTTTTGGGTTTTTTTAATTATTTTTTAAAAATTTATTCTATTTTAAAGGGGGTACACTTTTCCTAGGAAAAGCCTAATTTTTTAAATTATATCCTAAATCATATCATCATTAATGAAATGGCAGTTAGAAACTAAGAGAAAGTTTTAAAGGAGAGAACTAAGTGGAACAACTTAAATTTATTATAGTTACAAGCTGTATTTGTCCATCCACTTAAAAAGCTTTTTTTTTTTTTCTCTCTCCCCATTGGTTTTAAGAATTGAAGAAACAAGTGCAGACCTGAGGAAACAAGTGGTTAGGTTAGAAGAAGAACTGGACCAAGAACGAAAGAAATACACAATGCTGGAGATCAAGCTGAGGAATTCTGAACGTGCTCGTGAAGATGCTGAGAAGAGAAATTATCTCCTGCAGAAGGAAATGGAGGAGTTTTTTTCAACATTAGGATGTTTAACTCTTGGGAGTCAAAGTGCTAAAGTCCCCAAGTAGAACAAGCAGAGAAATTTCTATTTCTGGCAAAATGAGTGAAAATGCACACTTTGTTCCAGTATACTCATGTATCATGAGTAATTCTACAGTGATTGTGCTATTGGTGACACTTGCTCTGTTGTCTTTACATGTGCTATAGTATTTGGGCAAGCTGGGAAAGTGTGACCATAATGCTTGAAAGTTTAGATGTCAGATGGCCAGAAAAGGGGCCCCCTTTATATCCACAGAACAAAAGACACTCTTCTCCAGAGTTGTCCTGCCATCTTTGGATTCAAATGCACCATCCTTTCACTGGCTGAAGGACAGTGGGAAGTCCTGCAGCATGGGTGGATGGCCAGAACCGATGGACAGGCTGAGCCAGGAGATGAGGGCCTCCTGTACTTGTGCCTGGGGAGATGGCAGTTCCAGTCTGGCACCACAGCCAATGGGGTTGTTTACCAGATGGATTCTAATGAGGTGGTTTTCTCCCCACTCCCTACATAAAGTTTGTTCAAATTTCTCGTTCCTGAAGTGGCATTATTTTATGAAGATACTGTGAAAACAAAATCTACAAAAAAGCTGAAGATACCAAAATCTTGACAGTTCACTAAAATGGTCCCTTACCTGCCAAACAGTTTCAGTGTTTCATAAAAATGCAACTTATTAAACTGTATGTGATTAATAATCAGATTGGCTACACAAACTCCATGGAACTTTAAATATGCACATTTTGCCCTAGGTATCTGGGGGATTTTTGAGCCAAAAATAGACCAGTATTAGCTGCAAGAAAAAAAATTTCATGAGTTGATTTATGTCATAAAGATAGAATATGGAATATCAGTCATCAAGGTAGAATATGGAAGATTCTTATCATCAAAAGACATCCAACTGATCCAGCTGCCGAGGGGTTTTAATCTATAAAACTCTAATAGCAAAACCTATGGTAAGAGAAATTAGTGCAGTCAGGGTGGGGGGCATTGGGGTGGTAGAGGGAGAAGGGTGGGGATCTATCTTTAACCTTCCCTGGACAATTTACACTTGGCTGCCTTGTATCACTTCTCATTACATAATTATGTTTTTTTTGTTGGTGGTTCTCACAGGGAGATGAGGGGACAGGAGGAATATTGCAAACAACCTGTCAGCCCAAGTTCATTATTTCTACTAAGAAAAAATCCATTAGAATGAAGCTGTAATTTCTGGTAAATACCTGCCAGGGCTGACTTCCCTCCCAAGGGATTTTGAGAAGCTCTGCATAGCATTTGTAGCACCCTGAGCCATGTGGAGCCTGCACACAGAAAACTGTTTCACCAGATTCAGCTTGAACTCTCACCTGTCAGCCCAGCACTCACAGCACTGTTCATGTTTTCTTGGCACTTTATCTTTGACAGCTGAGGCAGCTTGGGAGTCGCTAAGAAGAAAGTTTTTTAACAGAAAAGTGTCATGACAACATGAACTGGCTAAAGGGAAAGTACAGAAGAAGGAGCAATGAAGAGCTTGCTTTATTTTAAGTATTTAAAAAAATTGCCCTGAATCTTGTTTCTTACTAGAGAAGACTATAACTCACTGTCTGGAAATAAGAATGGGCTTTTTTACATACCAGCAGATAGTACACCTTTCAGTAGCAACTTTCTCATCATCAACTCACATCCAGGTATTTCAGTATTTAAACATCTGGATGTTTACTTGTTTCTGCTGCACTGTAACACTTCTTCCTATAAAAATGTAAGCCATTGAATGGGAGCCAACCCCAGCATTTTAACCTAATCTTTTCTGGATAAGACAAGTCAAGCAAGGTGGTACAGTAAGCTGTGGACAGGTCAATTCCGTTACTTCAAAGCTTTTTTCCTCCTTCCCAGGCTCTCCAGCAGCACTGGATTCCTTCCAGCCCGTGGCGTGAGGCAGCAGGTACCCGTCTGTTCAGCAGCACCCGCCTGCCACCTGCAGGCACAAGCATCACCCCCACCTTCCTTCTCCATCTCTGCCTTAGGTTATTACTGATGGTCACAAGTGATCTTGCATGGAATAGGATGGCCATTTAAAACAGCAGCATTAAGATCCATAATAATGTGAGAGAGAAGCAGTTGTTGTAACAATGACCAAGCTGGAAGAGCACAGTGTGGCATGGAGCTGCAGTACCAGGCCAGTGATCACAAAATAAACCTAAATATTGGAGGGTGGCCTGAGTCAGGATGTAAGTAGAAAATCAGGACTGATAAAAAGGAAGTTTCTACTGATAACATTCAATACAACTAGTAGTAACAACCAGGGTATTTCAATGCCCTCTCTTACTGCTATCCCAAAAGTGGAAACCTTTCACTGTAGCCATCATGATGGCTCACACATCCCTTAGACTATATTGCATTATCTCCTATATCTATCAAGTGCAGACTGCTCCCTTTAGTTTGGGAACACTACAAACTTGGGAACTGAGCCATGCTGACTGGGAGACTAAACACCAAATATGCAAGACAAGCAGTGAACAGGACTGCTGGCCAACTCTGTAAGTATTTAACCTTAGGTAACTGCTACATATAGCAGAACTGGGGAACAAACCTACCTATCCTAAACCTTCAGCTCCAGGACAATCTGTCAGATCTGTAGGAGTAAAATTACTCTGGCATTCAGGATAAAATTAATTCTTCTTTTCAGTGTCACAAATGAAACAGTATACACTCAAACTGATTAGTGAAACTAAACAGTTGCAGGTTGACTGTTGTGCTCCAGCACCATCTATGCCTCTTCACGAGGAATAAATTCCAGCTCCTTTTGAAGATGAGACGCTGCAGTAAACAAAGCCTGCAAGAAACTGCAAAATACCCAGTTCACACTAAAATTCACGATGGTAGGATGTTAACTCTTAAATGCAGCAACTGGAGTATAATGTTCATTTCCAGACATGGGCATTTATACAAGAAATGGGAACCCACCTGTGCTGTTGTACACACCTCATGGAACACTATGCCCTTATCTGAGGAAGATGATACACCCTTTCCCACCACTTCATTTCCCCATATCAAGCATCCTTATTTTGCAGACCTTTCGCTCATTACAGCCCCTGATTTAAATGTCAGCTTTCTTAGCAAGTGTTTACAAGATACAAGTTGGTAATATTACTTAACACGACAAAAGGTTCCTGGAATCAGGTAGAAATGTTTTTACCACAGCTTCACCTGTGCAATCTTCCCTTCCAGTATTTTGCAGGCAAAAAAGCATAAAAACTTTTCAGTGACAAAAACCCAACACAAGCATATACTTTAAAAAAAATCAAAACAGCAATGCTTCAGAATAACAAAAAAACCCTTCTGAAAGTCTCCATGTAATCTCTAACACAAAAAGGAAAATGACCGAAGGTAGCTCATTGAATCATCTACATTCACCAGTGAGTTCTATTGAAGCCAGCAGCTCTAAGCAGTGTTTCAGTCCTGAGTCACCCACACACAAATCCTGGGCAGAGCTAAGATTGTCTCTCCAGCCTTGCTCTGTTATTGGCATATCATTCGAAATTGGCTGCTCTTTATGCTGACATGCAAATAAAGAAAAGCATTCCTGCCACATTCCTAGAAGAACGTCTCACAAACAGCTGGCCCAGAGAAACAAAGCTGGCTACACTGGACTGCAGGAGTCACAGTCCCTCTCCCTTGAAACTGTACAGGGACACCAACAGCACAGCTCAAGGGCATCTGCAGTCTTTGTTCAAGAAAACACCCACACCCTGCTGGAAGTGAAGGCAATCGAATGCATTTTGTGTTAGGATTTACCCACAGCAGAGGGGCCAGCAAGTGGTCTGGGCACACAAGTCAGCTCTCCAGAAGTCAGATCCTTCAGGCTTCTCTGAGACTCAGTTCTAGTCCCATACACTAGACAACCCGTGGCTTACCTCTTTCTGCAGCACAGGGTCTTGGCAGCTGTATTTCCAGGAAATAAAGTGGCTAGAGCTAGCAGCAAGGAGGCAAGAACACATTCCCAGTGGTTGCAAAGACACGTGGCTGTTAACAGTCTGTGGCACATCCAAAGTCAGTGGGAATGGAGAAACGGAAAAAACATGTCACTTTGCCCATGAGTGAGCTCACACACAAGACAGGACTTGAAGTACCATTAAAAACCAGATGAATTCTCAAGAAGTACTGACAATAATAAGATTTCAAGTGCAGCCTTTTTATGCAATCCATATGAAACCGTTCTAGCCTAGCAATGAAGAAACACTAAATGCATAGTGGTCAAACTTTTTTTTTTTCTTTTTTATTTAAAATATCATTATAACCAATTGACATACTAGATAACAATGTATACATTCCAGTGGTGCACATGTAATGACCTATGGCATGAATGAGTAAAAAAACCCACAATGTTCTCAGTAATGCCCCACCAACAGCTTATTTGGAGGGAATAAAGGAAGAGGAAAAGCAGGAAAAAGTATCAAATGTGGGGAAGAAAAAAGAATTACAGTTTTCCCCAGTATTTTTAATGGTGTATCTTCTACTTCATATTTCTTGGGACATAATAAAATTAAGAATATACTTCAAAAGGGGCAGAAGGAATGATCACAATAATTGGGGTGGGATTTTTTTTCTCAACTTTAGTAATAAAAGTTAAAGAACTCTCAAAAATAGACTAGATATTGGGCCTACAAAAGTAATTCATCTGTATGCAAAGCTTACCAAGAATTATTCCTTTTGTAAAATGTAAAGGATGAGCTGACATTACTAGTAAGCTATTTTTACCCTACAAAACCAGACTACAATAATAAAATCACCAATTTACAGCTAACACAATATTCTAGATGTACATTACTGTACACAAGCTATATATTACACATGAACATCTTACGTGAAATATATAAGAAACATACTTACTGATATTGTCTCAACATTGGCCAATAGGTTTGTTTTTCTAAAGGAGGTGTATTTTTCTATTCACATTCAGTGTAGTTCCAATAGCAAGGGTTAGCTTTGCTTACTTAAGAAACGTAGAAAGTTTGTGTGAGGTAGTTCAAGAAAACCTAGCTTAAATTTTTAACTGCAGAATTAGAAACACAATGTGACCTGATTCATAACACATTTCTGTAATGCAGACATATCTAAAGGGGAGGAAGGAGTGAAAGAGACCACTTAAAATACCACTTTTATCCAGTGCCCTAAACTAGGAATAAATTAAATTAATTGAAAATTTGGGTAGGCGGTACAGTCTCATCACATTTCTTCATTAGAACTCTTTCTAATCCTACTGAAAAATGCAGACAGGCTCTCCTTCAACTCCAGTCCTCAACCTAAATATGTAAGAACCAAACCACTGATAGGAAAATAAAATATAACAGCATGGAGAAGCTGCTGCCAACAGCAAACAAAACCATTTCTAGAAACCATAATTCCTGCCCTTTAGCAACCTGAAAGAGTAAGACTGAGTGTAAGCTGAACCTTCTTCCCCCCTTTCCCCCATAATCTTAATTGAGAAACTTTATCACACACTTTGGATTATTGGCTGGGTAGAACCATCCTCCTGTAGGAGCTTTTTGACCATTTTTCTTCATGCACTGTTGAGCTGAATGCCACATCATCCCTCCCTCCCTGCAGGGCCCCTGGCCAGGTGCTCAGTGTTGGCTCCACTGACCATTCCAAGCGGACTGCACGGACCATCCCCGTGGGACCCTCGGACAGCGAGGGGTGCTACTGCTGTGGCCTGGCACCCCCTCAGCACCCACCCTGTGGTGGGGACGTGGGGACTGCACACAGAGACACACACGCAGTCATACGCAGACACCCCCCCACACACATACCCATACACCCCCCGACCAAACAATTTATGATACTCTGTATCTAGCTGGAATTCCTATCCAAAAACATGCCACTGCACCCAGCACAGCAAGGTTCTTCAAAGCTAAAATCCCGAGCAGTGCAGCTCACGCAGGGCAAGTGCTGTGTCTGTTGAGCAGAGCAGAATGAACCAGGGCCGCCCTGGACAGTCAGGCTGGGCTGAGAGTTGCCAGCCCAGCTGCTCACACACACCAACACACAGTGAAACATCAGTTCTGACCCCATTGTCTTGCATCAGCAAAAGGCCTTACAACACAGTACTGCAGCACACCATCATGGTACTCGTTCCCGCCTGCCCCCCACACTTCTATTTCAAATTCTTGAAGAACCTAGTTCTACAAAAGGAGAGTGCTGTTTTATCCTTGATGCATGCCACAGCTCTGACCAAAGGAGGTGGAAATCAATCTCATTATTATTGCCCAACATTTAACCTCACCTGACATAAGAGATCAGACAGCTCATTGTAATTCAATCCCTACCAATTCTCCCATGGATTAGAACAGCCCCAGGAAGTTGCATGCACTCTAGTGAAGCCCACTGTCATGAGAAGATTTTGAAACAGTCTAAAATAAAGCTTAACTATACTTTAGGAATAAAATTGTACAGTGTACTGGACAACATATAATCTAACAAACACTAGACAAAGACAGCTCAACTCCAGTTACCTATTTGTTTGCTATCTGTGGCGGTGCACAACTATCGCTTAAGTAATTTTATATTTCATCAAATAAAAAGGAAAGTTAAGACTAGGATGTTGTTGTGATACTTTGGTGACTGAATCTGACTTTCTTATCTTTGAAATTTGCCACCACTAATTTGCCTAAAAAAAAAAAAAAAAAAGAAAAAAAAAAAAAAAAAAAGCAAACGCAACACTACTACGAAGATAGTGCCAGAAGTGAGCTCTAGGCTTCCACAGGCAAAGCTCTGACCCAACCAAAACAATCCCTTTAACTACTGCCCAATCACACTGCAATGGGCTGCAGGGGACAGTCCTACCTATTCATTAAACCTACCGTGAAAGAAGAAAAGCTCAATTCTCCCTAGAGCTTATAAACTCATTTCAGTGGCTATTTTATTTAGGACACTGGAAAGTGACAGCAAAAAGTATTTTTAAGTTTCAAAATATTTCAATCATCACTGTAATCCAGAGGGGTCTAAAATAAATTTGAATACGAATTATATTTATCAAATTCTGTTTTTAACAGCACTTAGAGGCATCAGAAGTTGCTTTTGTCAGTCTTAACTTCATTACACTGTTGACCACACAGTCATTTGATCCTATATAACAACAGAGAACTGTCATATGACCAAAAATTTTGGCTTAATTCACAGCTTAAACTTTGATAAAAAAATGACAAAATAGACTGTTCTGTTGGTCTCCGTTCAACTTGAGCAGATTTTCTACATTCCAGTGCTAGATGAATCCAAACATGTCCTACCTATTCCGAGGTAATACACAATTTGGCAAGATCCTGCAAAAATAATTGCCTTAACAAATGTGGTTTAGGAAGGCAATATTGAAATATTAGATACAAGTGAGGAAAGCAAAATTACATGCACAAAGCACTTACCAGCAGTCTAGCCAGGCAAGGAAAACAATTGTGCAGTTTATCAATTTAGTCATCTTTGAGACATTACCATTTCTTGTAAACCCTGCATGTTTTTTAAAAAGACATGTTAGATATCAAAAGCATTACTATCACTTCTATTTTTCTGAAAGTTACTGTAAAGACACATTTTCCTCTTTCAGTTAGAACTTCAAAAAGATACTTATTTAACCCAACAGGCAGAAGGAACCACACTGAAGACTATCAGTCATTCCTGGATGACCTCTGTAGCCAGTTACATTACTTGCTTATGCTCGGTGCCTGGCAAGACTTCTGTATTTGTGTCCATTTCTGTGAGCATTACTAATTTAAACTGCTCTTCGCATTCTAATTCACTACACAAAATATGCATCTACACGAGGCAATCAATTATATAACCTAGCTTCACTAACAATCTGCATTTTCCAAAGGAATAAATTCTGAATGATTGTTTAACTCAAACTTAAGTCAGTTATACATAAATCATTCTGTAAATATAAAATGTAAACAGTTAAAATACTTCTGTGATGAGCAGCACCATCTTACATGACTATTTAGTAAATGTTCTATATATCTCAATATATCTTTTGTTTAAAAAGTGTATTGAAGCCTGGAGCTTCGGTGATGAAAACTACTGAATATTTATGACTTAAAATGAACCATTGTTAAGATTTCTGCTACACTGATCTCATGGTGAAATGAAAGAGATAAATATTAATTTATACAGCACTACTTCTCCCTCCTTTGGATGGCATATATTGCTCATTAATGCATTAGCTACAGAAATCCTGAGGTTCTCCTACCACTTAATGGTTTTTAGCAATCAGTATTTTTGGTGGAGAAAGAGTAGCTGAAGTTTTGCCCCTATTGCATTCATGTCATTCCCTCTTTGACCCAAAAAGCACTCGAAAAGCACTCGAAAAGCACTCGCCCTAGTAGACAAAACCAGTAAGAACCACAACTCCCAAGAATCACGTCTTATACGAAAGTATAGCTACAGCATATTCAGTTTCCTTTTTGTCAGTCTAGACATCCTGGATACACTTTGTTTTGTGTGTACAAAAACAGGCTACAAGCTAAAAGTAAACAGTTTATTGGCATTGCAATGCATTATTCATGAAGTATCCTTGGGTTTTATGGTGATCACAAGATTTGGCATGCCACAACTCTGCAGAAAACATCACATTACTTTGCTAGGCTGGGTATTTCTGCAGCTTTGAAGATATGCTTTGCTTTCTTATGTTCATAAACCCATTCACACAATGTTATTTTGCAAAGGATTTTTTTTCTCTAAAAAAACTTACTAATTGTTGCTTTTGCTGAAGTATTATAGGCAAGTGGCCAAAATAAAAGAGGATTTTTTTCACTGCCAGCACCACAGTAGTATGCCCAAAACTACAGCTGGCTGCACTGAATTCTCTCCCCCTTCACCTAGACCACAGATGTATGACCAAGCATAAAACTCTGAAGGATATCATGAACAAAACATCTGGAATAAATTCTAATTAAAAAATTGAAAACCTATAAAATCTTAAATAATTCATTATATGGTAATGACCACAACATTAATATGTGCTTTGATAAAACAAATCTTACAAATTCAGTAAAAAAAGATCAGCAGCATAATAGTAAAGCAAATATGCAGATTTTAAAACCACAATAAAAATTATCAGGTTTAATATTTTACAGTTAATTACAGCAAAAAAGTGGCTGCTTTTAACACAACTTACAGTTTGAAATTACAGCACTTTATGATGAATTTCATGATTATTTTTGAAAAAACACTCAAAAATACCACCAAATTTTAAAAGTGCCCTATTAATGACTAAAAGGACCCCCCTCCCACCCCCCAAAAGACCAAGTAGTCATCTACAGCAACCCAGAGGTCCAGCTGAGGTTTCTAGACTGCTGTCTGTATCAGAGGCCAATGTTGGATCTGTTGACATTGAAGACACATCGTTGACAGATGATGATGAAGATGGATGTTGAGAGCCATTGATCATTGCTGCACCTGTGCTATGAGAAACAAAACAGCAAATCAGTTGCAGATACAGTTGCACAGTTCAGTACTTGCATTAGTCTGTCTTTTCCTAATGGTCATTACTTTTCCCTGTTTTGGCAAGTTGAAAGAGATGTGTCCCAATCCATTGTCAAAATAAATAAAACCCACAAGTCTTTAATGTGGGGTTTAATGGATGGTATGTCAAGAACCACAGAACTCACATGGCACAGACAGCTGCCAAATCACAGTAAACGCTTATGGCTGAAGGTTAAAAAAAAAATAAATCACAAAGACAGTAAGATAAGATACCCTAGAAAATGTTGAGACCCTAAGCTAGAATGTATCTACATATTTTGATAAAGAAAGAAGGGGCTTGGGTTTTTTTTCCCCTCCCCTTGGGGCTGGGAATAGCTGGTGCCCAGCCACATCACATCCATTCAACCTCAGATATCCAGGGATTTCTCAGAGTCTGAACTTCAGTGAATCCCAAGCAGAGTGAGCAAGGGCAGTCCAACTTATGTCACAAAGCTTTACCAAGAGTCAGTTAATGGGCACATTCTTCCAAGGCCAGTAAAATGAAGTGCAAAGTACTTCACCATTTTCCAACCTAGAAATCCTGTTTCAGTATTTCCAAGATCTAAGTAGTGGTTACATCTTATCTGAAACTGTACCAGCTACACATTACACATCTAACCAAACTATAGCAATTGAGCACCAGTACATAACAGCATGTTTCTTGAGGACTGAAATGACACAGAGACAATAATAGAGGGATTTAGCAGACTAATAAAGAGATGTCAGCCCCCTATATTCCACTCAAATATACAATACCTCAAAGAGAATTCAAGAGGTTTGGTGATTTAAGAGCCATATTTTTGAGTTACTTTTGGATGTCTTGAACAGCTTTACTCCCTCCTGCCCTACAACTCATGGAGCTTTGTACTGTGCTTTTAATGTAACCAACCTAAAGGGGCTGGTTGGCCGCGTATAACCCCATTCTTGGTTCTCTCCTCCAGGTCCATGACTTCCTTGTATATCAACTCTGAAAATGCAGCGAAAGGAAGGCAAACAATGAATTTGCAACCCCAAGAATTTGCAACACATCTCCTGTTAAGATGTACATTTAAATTTCACAGGTTTATTACTGTTCAGAATTAGTTTTGAACGACAGGTTGTAGCCTACACAGCAACTGGAAAGTGATATAAAAATGTACAGTTCTTTTCTGTTGGAGTTACAGTGGCCTAGCACTCTTGAGAACACACTGACATTGTTCTAAGGTTCTTTCATCCAGGTTGCTTTGGGACCTGAGGTTAAACTGAGTCTTAAGGCTCGCTCAGTTTTTATCATTGGTTTCTTTGGTACAGATAAACTCAATCAGCTGTCTTTAAAGGAAGAGCTAAGAACAAGCCCAGACAGCATTGCCATAACCCCAATGCACATTTGCCACTAAATTTCCTCAGCAACAAAACGTGTAAAAGTCCAGATCACCATGAAATGGAACATAATGTTAGCATATAAGAATTATAATTTCAAGGGCTATGGGAATCTCAGAAGTAAACACCATATTGTTTGAAATACCCTCAGCACATCTGCTTCAAAAGGGAAATAACTTTGCTTGGAATGAGGATGGTAGGAGAATTTCCACAATTCTCCTTATCTCTGCCCTTACAATTAAAACTCAATTTTTAACAGGTCCAATATCCCTTCCTAAACTTTTTCAGTACAAATTATTAGATTGCTCAATGCACTAAACTCTTGTTTAAATGCAACCTTTATAGCCTGCACAGCAATCTGGACTTTTTTCTTAGCACTAGAATCTCTGCAATAAGAGAAGCAATTTCAAAATGAAGCACAAGCTTTACAGGTTACAAGGATGTTCCCCTTATACTTACCATTTTGTACCTTGTATATATGACCAGGACATATAGATACTAAACGAGTACTGAACACTAAAGATCATGCTCTTGGAGGTATGAGTCTTATGTCATACTACAATCCATTCCAAACCTCAAGCCCAGCTACTTTCTCAGGATCTCACAGCTGATAACCATCAGCATCTCCCAGACCAGCTTTAACCTCGCTATCTTGTAAATTACTCACACTCCTTATGGCTTCTTCTTACAAGTCCTCTGCTTGATTTTAAAAGAGCAGTTATTGCTACAGTGCTCTTCATTTGAGAACTAGTCCTTCTAATTCAGACTTATTTTGCTCAAACTCCTGCATCTTTTTCAGTTTTAGCTGTTGGTCCAGAAGAGTTACCCTCCCTAAAAATGCTGTCCTATGGTTTGCAAAAGGTGACTGCAATGAACAGGTCTTTAGTTCTCTACAAAGGTTCAGCACCGCCAAAGGAAAATTTTTGTGTGTCCCAATAATCAAGAAGTTGTGAAGCACTGATCTACTTCCTTGCCATTCCAAGCAGGTAAAGTAAATACTACTAGGTTGCTCAGAAGCACCTCAGTGTAATCACTGGGGCCCAGCCTACTCCCAAAAGCCTTATTTTACCTTAAATGCCCTTCTTACCTTTCCATTCTTCTATCGTGTGCTCCCTCTCATCTAACTGCTTATCTGGTATCTTTGGTGGAGGCTGGAAAACAAAACTCATCATAGAGCAATCAAAAGGGATACAAAACCAGTATAAATGGAAAATTAAATTAACCACTCAAAACATTAACCTATTTTTAAAATACCATATTTACATGATCATATATTTCACTCAGACTTGGCCTATTTTCTAGATGCTACTGCTTTAATGTTCTTCTGAATAAAAAATTTGCTTACCTTACTGTAATAATTAAAATAGAAACCGAGTATGGTAATAGAATAGAAAAATGGTCTGGTAAAAGAGCTCCAAAGTGCAGTCTCCAGCACAAGCAGCCAATTTTAGCTACTTACTGTTAATTACTACATTTGCCATCTAACTATTACAGATCATCAGAATTCTAATTGCTCCACTTACAATCAGGCATCTTTTTCTATTCTTAGTGGCAATCACCAACCACCTTTCTTTTTTAAAAAATGATGCTTTTCTCATAAAATGATATTGTCCCAAAACTAATTTTTTAAGAAAAAATTTCAACTAATCCCTTTGCTCATTAGTGTTAACAATTGAAAACTCAAGATCTTGTATTCTGATTTTGCTGGAACAATAATTTCTAGTTTAAGAGGACAACCAACTATTACAACTAATGAAAATTTTTCTCTTGCCCAGGAATAAATACCTCAGAACCCCATCAAGGGCAATCAAACCACACCGAAGCAAGTGAAGCTCAATAAATTAGAACCCTATATAAAAGATTTCAGATGCATTACTACATGTTCAGATTATATGCAACTGTACAAACAACAGAGATCAGTACTTTAGTCTAAGCTTATTCTTAATGCTGTTTCTAATAAACACATCTATAGATGTCAATAAAAATAATTATGGCTCAGTTAAGCTTCTAGTGAAATGTGCAACAATCTTCTTTCAAGCAGCTCTATCAAGCATCACAACAAGATGGCTTTAGTACAGTACCTTCCTAAGCAGAGACCTAAAATAAGGACTTACAGCTTCTGCTTCTGATGGATCATACCAAACATTGATGTATGGGTGCTGCAGGGCTTCATCCACAGAGATTCTTTTAGAGGCATCTATAACCAGCATTTTTGATAACAAATCCCTTGCTTGACTTGCTGCAAAAATAAGATTTTCTGCTCAGACTAGTGCCATAGATAGAGCACATAACACAGTATTTCAAATCTCATAAAGAAGAGATCCAGAGTAAACAAATTCCAGTTAAATACTGATGCAACCCTCCCATAATGTGAGGTTTAGGAGAATGGGCCATTTGATGGGAAAAAAAATTGAAGAAAATTACACAGGTGGGAAAGGGGTTGGATATGTTTCACTGTACATTTTCAGCATACAGTGTCCCTTGGTATGACATCCTTACATGAAACAGCTCAGCTGGCAGTGCAGCCTTGTCTGGCAACAGGCAAGCACCTATTACCCCCCCTCTGTCATGTACTGTTAGTCACAGAAAATACAGTGAGTAGGTGAGTTAAAACCAGTAAGCTTCTGAAATAACTACAGGATATCTATATATTATGAATATAAACTCCTTATATGCGTCCCTAGAGAACAAAGATCTACTCTGCCTACACAACTTCTATTCCAACCTCCCCCAACTTTTCTCTAAATCATGTTGGCATCTGTCACTGAGAAGAATATAGGTATTTACTTCTCTTTATAAAGACAGCTCCAAGAATAGGAGCTGTTTCATGAAAATATATAAGTGGAGGCAAGCATATGCCAGCACATTCATCCATTCTCATGATATAAATCTTATATACTTAAATCTTTAATGGGGTGATTTTATAGTGAACAAAACCAAGACATTTCTGTTCAGTATATCACAGTTTTACAACTTTTAAAATATACAACACACAGAAGATAGACCTTACCTTTAAGTTTATTGTGTTCAGAGTCAGCAGGAAAAAGGACATCTGGAAAGAGTTTTTCAAAACTATATCCAGCATATTTAGGTCTGTTCTCCACATAAGTTCGGACTGTAGGCTGCAATTTCTTCATAAATTCGGGGCATGGTGTTCCTAGCTGCTCTATAACTTTATTCCATTGATCAATATCTAAGGTTATGCAGCTAAGAAAAACACTGTGCCTGATTTTCAGCTAGAAAGTTATATTAAAACCACATGAAATAACCAACAGAGAAAATACAGAAAATTATAATAAAATATCAAGTTTATCATCACAAATTAGGACTATCCTCTTAGAGAAAACAGTGAAACAAAACAAGACTATGGTAGCGTAGTCAAGGCAATGTGAATTTTACTAAAATAATAACTAACTAGAAAAGGATATACTTCTGAGAAACAGAATATTAAAAGACTCACACAATGCATTAAATGAATTTAAATTAAGGCCTCGTTTGGATTCTGGAGAAGAACTCTCACTTCCTGGTCTGAACACACATTCACAGTAGTGGAGCTACTACACATCACCAAGGCACTCGTGACAATTACCCCATGTAGGTGCTTTGTCCTTTGTTCTCATCTCGATACCTCACCCCAATCTGGGGCAACCTCTTACTAAGGATATGCAACACTGACCACCAGTGGGCACACAAAGGATGAAGTCTGGGCCCACACAGGTCAATGACAATATTGTCAAAGACTTGAATGAAGAAGTTGAAGAGTTTCAAGGATGCATAAGGAACATCTTAACTGAAAAGTCTGCACACTGTAAAGGGAGATTGACCAGTTCACGGCAGAAGAATTTAATACATGTTACTGAACAAAAAAAGTAACATTTGTCTCGGGAATTCCTAGTTGCAGATGGTTAGATACCGGAAGAGAGCTCATATAAAATTTTATATACCCTTATCTCATTCATATATTCTCCTCAATTTTATTTTCAGCTGCCATCAAAGACTGGATACTGGGCCATCTAAATCTTCCGTGGGTTGTAGTAGGGCTTCTCTTCTGTTCTTAAAACTTAATAACAGATCTTTATATAAGGATTTTCAAGTTCTACAGAGTTTTAGTACAGGCCTTGACAAAAAAATTATTTACACTGTATGGCATTGAGTGTAAATTGAAAAGCCATGCTAGCAGACCAGATGCATAAAGCAAAGCATGGTGCAGCTCATGCAATGACAGAGCTGTGTGAAAGTAAAGATGCCCTTGATCTCCTCACTGTGTCTCAAAATCTTGACCCCATCTCCACCCCTAAATGGTACTTAACAATTTTTAAACAGTAACCTGCAGCAAAAGCAGGAAATATTTCTGATGGCATCTAAAAAACTTGGTCTGTAAGTACTAGTAAAACAAATAAGATGTCAAACACCAATTATTTCCATTAATTTTAGGGATGATCCAGAGGTTTCAGTTCTGTTCGTTTGGAGTGGACTCTTTGCCTGAAATAGTGTTCACAGGACAACCCATATAGACACCACCAAGCCATTCATGGAATAGAAAGACAGAAATGCCAGGTATTTCTGAAAGCTATTTGCAGGATCATTTCTGCATACATAAATAAAATATAAAAAATATAAAATTCCAGAGTGTAACTAATGAAGATGATCAGGAATTTTTTGTGAACATTTTCTTTAAAATGCAAAGACTAATAACTGCTAACACACTCAGATACTAAACAAGATTAGTAAGTTATTACATAAAAATAACCTCCAAAGTAAAAACCAATGCATGTGAACCAGTAAAACACCATCTAAAAATAAATAAATAAATAAATTTGTCTTAAATGTGACAACATTCAAAAGCAATGATAGGCACTAGATTAAACTGGAAAAAGAACAGAGAGGAAAAAAAAGAAAAAGGAAAAATTAAAAATAAGTCTGTTTGCCAAAGTGGTATATAATGAACTTGCACTTTGAAAAGGCAGTTGAAAACCAGTATTTTAAAAATTAGAACTACCTTAATCTGGAACTATATAGCTGCAGTATCTTTTGACCTTTTACAACTACATCCTAGGCCAAAGGTAAGGATACGATCTGTACCAGGAAATAAAACACCACCTTTGATCATTTCTCCCATGATGCACCCAACTGACCAAATGTCAACTGAAAACAAAATGCAATGATATTAACATAAAAGATAGTTATTAAAATAAAAGAAATAAAAATATTCAGACACACACATACACATGAAGTGACTATAAAAAGCATGTGTAATGTAATGAGTGAAGGTGAATGTATGCTAACTACAGGACCAGCAGAGACTATGTCCTACTGCTAGGTGCAGCCTGAATATAAATGAAGTTCTTTTTTTTTTAATAAGTGTATCACAAGAAAAATCCATGTTCATTTAATAAAAAAAAAATAAAATTGTACAATATGCATCTTCATGACACAACATCAATAAAAAGGTTAATCACTTCCTAACTAATTCAACCTGCTGCAGCAGCACAAGGATACAGTCCCTTCCTGGAAAGAGGATTTTGTGGCAAACCATTTCGCCCATAATGCACCCCACAGACCATAAATCCACTATGTTTGTAGCACAAAAAGAAGGAAAAGCAAAGCAAACGGTCATTTAAAATTAAAAGAAGCATAACATGACTGCATCCTATAAACTGCAGAGACAGCACAGGAAGAAGAGCAAATCTTTGTATTAATCAATGAAAACACTTTAAAATACACCATGTGTAAGGATTAGCTTTTAACTGTCTCAAATACAAGGCAGAAAAACATCCTTTTGTTTAATATAGTGCTAGAGCAAGAGCTTGAGCAGAGAGAGAGAGAGACACACATGAAGCAGAGTAAGGTCCTTCTCCAAGCTCTGAAGCTTGCAAAGCTACCTCCGCCAAGAGACCAGATTCAAGCACCAAAGACAGCTTGATTTCTTGAAAGTAATTCCACTGTAGTTGTATGAATAATTCTAAAAGCAGCAAAGTAAATTGACCTGTAAAAATATTGCCTATTGAAACAGTTCATGCTTTTTAGAAGAATTAATTAGGTATTACATAGAATTAAAATTTGATGTCAAGTATTTCCTAAAAGTCAGATTACCATGCATCTCTCTCTCACTTTAAATAAAAAGCAAACAGAATCAGTAAAAGATCACTTAGAATTTTAGAGGATCAGTTAATGACAATGTTAGTATGCTCCTAGAAGATTTTCAGTTGAAATCATTTGTTTAAAGATATTTCTCCAGTTATGCTGAAATAACATCTTATACAAAAGAAAAACTCAAAAGCAATTTTTTTTAAATGAAATATGCATTTTCTACATTACCTTAAAATAAATTACTCAAAAGACATACTTAGAGATGCACAAGTTTACTTTGTAAAGGTATGCCAATTTCTTTTGCAGTTGCTTTCAGAGGTACTGTTAACTCTGTATGCACAAGTTTTCTTGAAGTCATAATAATTATATAATTATGAATACTTTTATATAAAACATAACACTGCAATTTCAATTAAGCAGGTAAGAAGGGGATTTAAATGAGAACAACTGTATACTAAGAATCACATGTAAATGTTCTGAAGGAGCTCAACAATGTCAAGCAAACAATGTTGCTTACTGAAAATATTCCTTCTCCCTCATTTACAAGTTCCTCTAAAATAGTATCTCAATCATATGACAGGAGATCTTAGTTGTGCATATTAATAGGTCAAAATTAAGGGCCTGGTTCATTTAAAAATGATTGTCAATATTTTATGATTAGTGTTGTTTTTCCTTTAAAAACCCTTTCCAAATATTTAAGTACATATTATTTGGCTCAGAGACCCAAAGATTTGAAGCCAAATTTTTCATTTGACTTTTTAAATAAAATTCTGAATGTTGACTTTTTGACCCACAAATCAATCTTCTGCCAGTCCAACCCAAAATATACCCAAATCTGTTGTAATCAGTTTGTGTCCAACACAATAAAGTTACCAAAATTGAGATGTTTTGGGGTGTTCTGATTTGCTGCTTTCATTAAATCAAGAAGTCTCTAACTTTTTTTATGAAGTTAAACTAATTTGTACACTGAGGACTGCTCCTGTGAATACTTCTATAGAAGACCAAGTAAAATGAGTAAAATCTCATTACAGATTTGAAAATATTTTTAAAAATCTAATGCTGCCATAAAGAGTCCATTGTACTCTTAATAACCCTGTTTGAAGTGAACTGTTTTCTATAACTCTAGGAGAAAAAAAAACATGTGAAAATTAAGTTCAAACCCAATTTACATAATAGGAAACTTAAAAGTAGTTGTTTCAAAGGGTTTAGGGCTTTCCTTGCTTTTCAGTGCCTCCTTTCTGATAATCATGCACATAACTGTGCATAAATCTAAATATGTTAAGGTACATGTGCATGAACAGTTTTGGTGTCCTTCAGTTCTTGAGTTTCATTTCTTGATTTTGCAAAGATTGGTTTATCAATATGATATACCCAAATCTCCTTTAGTAATAAACCCTGTGCAGAAGTGAATTCTATATAATCAGTTTGGCATCTTTGCGAGTTTTAAAACAAGTATTTTGGACGTGCGTAACAAAAGAACACTACTCTCAGTCATCAAAATATAAATTGCAATCCTCCCACATCAGTTCAGCAGGGTGCTGAAACTGCCAGATGATCCTGCAACCATTAGTTAACCATCAATTTTCAATATTTAACTCTATATCAAATAAATTAACAGTTAATTTAACTATTGGTTTAAGGGGCTATAAGAGGCATCCATACTAACAGGTTGAGGCCTCTGGACAGCCCATGGTTTCTATTCTAAGTGCATCCTTGATACCTGTCTCCTAGTCATGGGAGCTCCACAAACTCCTCAGGCGGCGACTGAGAAGAATAACAGCCTATGCATACAGTGTAAATGGTCTTTTAATGAGAACAGTACATGTGGAAATGCAGACTGTCTTCAGACTCAGTCCATAGATTTACTTTTACATTCTCCAGAAGTGTCTGTCTAATTTCAATGACCATGTATTTGGCTGTGTGAAGACATGACAGTTCTTCAAATGAAAGTAAACTATTATTTATGTTCTGCTGCACAAACAAGTCCTGTGTCCTTAGGAACAGGATTGTCACTATCATGACAGGATACTCTGGAGCACAATCTATTTAACACTAACAATAACCTAAGCAACATTTTAGTGGAAAGAATGTTTCACACTTCTGCAACTCCCAATTACTTACTATTTAAGAGAAAAATCTAAACTGGGCAAGCTAAATTAGAAAGCTTGTGATTTTCATTGCATCAATTCCTCCTGTAAGGCAGCTGCATGACTCAAAACTACAGTTTTAGGTACTTTTATCTAGTGTCCCTTAAATGGCCAATGTAAAGTCTTGGGGGGAAAAAAAAGACAAACTGGCAAACCTAAAAACTTTAGGAGTAAAAAAAATAACGTGCTGTACTCAACCTGTGACTTCTAAATCACAGGAAAAACAACCAGCCATGGAGACCACTTGAAGGAATGTACCTCCTCTCATTCATGTTAACGATCCAGACAGAAATAAAACCACAGCCTTGCAAAAATGATCTACTCTCACTCCTTTGAGCTGCCTTCTTTCATTGTTAACACCATTCACACACAACCTGAAGTCATTGGTTGTGACTATGTAGTTGCAGTTGCCAGGCAGGTTTGCAGACTATATTAGGAATCCTGAAAGGCAGAGCAAGCCCCAGTTGTGTCAGTAATGTGAGGAGCCACACCTCACATCCCCAGGAGACAGCTCACCAAGCCTAAAGCAGCAGGGCATCTCAGCGCCTTGCTGGTGGATCAACAGAGGGTTTAAAATACCTCCAGTGACCTCTGGGCACTGTGCCTGCCTGAGCTGGAAACAAGGGAGCTGACTGGCCACAGTGACAGCAGATCAATGAAATGGCAGCAGAATCAGGGCTGCTACAACAGGAATGCAGGAATGACACATCAGTTTGTTTTCCCAACTGGCACTGGTTGTGTCATTGAGAAGGTGCAGTGTAGTTGATTGTGTGTTTCCCTCAAACGACACAGCCCTTCCTTATTTTCCTGCAGAAGACAGAGAGAGACAGACTGGCCACAGAGCAAGTATAAAGAGAAGGGAAATGTGTGCAAGCAGAGTGACAAAGTAAAATTTCCTTGGAATTTGTCATGGACCTCAAGGAATCTATGATGCTTCGTGACAGTACTCTCTGTATTCTTGTCTCAAGTATATTACTGACTTCAGCAACATTAAGAACTGAGTGCAACAGGTTTAAAGAACACGGGTTTTAATTAAAAGAAATGCCACAGTAGGTAGTCTCAGTTTGTTTGTTCCTCAGTAGCCTTTATGTTCCCTACATCCTAAAAGGCTATATGGAATGTAGTTATTTAATGTTCAATTTAGTACACACATCTACTGATGAATGTCAATTTACATCTTCACCAGGAATAAAGTCAGGTGAAGGTCTATCAAGGTACATGACATATCAAGGAAATATATTTCCAGTTCTTATGGATGTCACTTGTTATTTAAACTTTTAAATAAACAAGGCCCTCAATTTCTTCTCCTATTAAATGCAAACATTTTCTAATGGGTTGAGCTGAATAAACAATTGGTGTATCCAAAATCTGCATTTTGATCAAAAGACTAATTTATAAAATTTCTACAGCTTGAAAAAAACATTAACATGTAAAATGTGGTGTGCCAAACAAAAAAAAAAATAAAGCTATGCCAAAGAAAGACTATATTTGCTGACCGTTTTCTTTGTATCCCATCCCTAGGATGACCTCTGGTGCTCTGTAGTAACGAGTCACTACATAAGGCGTCATCATAAAACTAGTTCCTGCAGTTCTGGCCAGTCCAAAGTCAAGAATCTTCAAAGTGCAGTCTGACTTTACTACTATATTACTGGGCTTTAAATCCTTTAAAAAGAAACATCATATATGACTGCTAAGACAAGCACAAAGTACTCTGTGGTTCACATTTTAAAAATATAATTACTGCTAACATTATACCCCACACATACAACTTGGTTATTGCTATAACTGCAGGTTTTTTTCCCCTTGCATTAATTCATGTGCATTCAGCAGACTACAGAACTAATTCCTTTATTGTGCTTGTAGATTTATATAGCAATTAGAGAAGGAAAATACAACCAGCATTACAAGATATGTTAGCAATGTCTGAAATAAATTGAGGTTAGTAAGAAGTGTTAGCTCTGAGGAAAGGTCTAGAAACTGCTCACTGGAACAGTGATTATTACTATGATGCAGAACACAAGTAACATAACAATTGCTGAAATCATTTGATGTAATAATCATCTTGATACAAAAATTATTAGAATTATAATATGAATGTAAAAAGTAAAAGGTTTATTTGCTAGTTGAGGTTACATTACCTCTTTCGAATCAATGTTTCTCTGAACAGGAAGGAAATCCCCATGCCCACATAGTTTTAGTTTCCCATTTAGGATTTGGTTTTATACTAATTTTGGCAACTAAACCTAAAAAGGCACCACTGAAAAACTGCCAAGAATTAACACAATCATTATATTGCAGTGAAAAATATAGAGTGGAGCACTGATATAGCTTCAGATCATCTTAGTTAGAAATACAGTAACTATTCTTTTCATTTGAATCCTATTGACAAGTGGCTTTACAACATCTGTTTATACGGACATTACACTGGCATACTCCATCATCATATCAGGAGGATCTTACACACATCTGAATGTCACAGAGCAAATATTACAAACAGAGTAACTTCTGAATAACTTTACAATCATAAAATGATTCACAGCACACAGGCCAACACAGATAAGACTTAGATCCTTCCTGCCTACACTCTACTGGATTAATGAGAGAAAAACCTGAGATACGGCAGAGGACTCCAGCATTTGAGCTGCAGGCATTTGATAAGTAGCAATATCTGTCACTGTTTTACAGAGACTTAAAATTGGCTATCTGCAAGATTTATGTAGTTTCAGCAATCTCCTCACAAAGCTAAGAAAACTGCATTAAAGAGAGAGGAAACCACAAAAAAGAGTTTCAGAACAACAGAATTTTAGTGAGCAATTAAAAGTCTTGCATACATACATATTCATACATGCACTTCCAAAACACTTGCACAAGGACTCTGCAGACAACCTTGGCTTAAAACATTCTCACACACCACAAATTAATTCAAGTTCTACAAGGCATTCCAGTCATTTTAATACGTATGTTTCAGATTCTGCTACAGTCTTGTTTATTATCATCTTTATTTTTGCACAATTCTATTATTTTCAGGATGTTCATTGCAAAATCCCAGGTGCATGCTTATGGTATTAACTATACTCATCCTCCTCAAAGCTGCAGGATTAACACTCAAAATGTTAAAAGATCTTCCCTTTGCACGAGAAAAATCACTACGAGGACAAAATGCAAAAGCTGCCCCTCCTTAATTTCTGAACACCATGTAGCTGTCATGAAGCCTAGGATCAAAATGATGAAGGCCAGACTTGACTTAACACTGCATTCAAATTCATGCAGAACCCACATCTCTTATGTTTTAAATAAACACAAACTCAAAACTTCCTTTAAGAGTGATCAAGTTAATTAGGCCGTATAAATATATCCAGAACCTATAGCAGATGTGTCATTGAACCTTAAAAATGTAAAATGTCAGTGCTTAGAAAACAGATTTTTCATAGCTGTATCCCCATTAACCAGACAGGGAGACAGGGACATCTCTGGAGGGTAATTCATGGCTTCTTTGGGCTTTTCCCTTATTAACAAAAGATTTGTGAAGGGCTTCCATAATTGGGCCCCTTTCTTAAGTACTCAAAATCAGGCAGAATTCCATGTTTCAGAGCTCCCATGCAAGACTAATGAGACACTCTGTGTCCCTCAGCAAGTCAGCGAGGCACAACTCTGAAACGCTGATCATTCATCCCCCTGAGATTATGAAACAGAAGTGAACGTGTACTTCTACACTGGCTGGAAACTGCCTCTCTGCAAAATGTTTGCCAACGTCTGTTAAAATCAGTGTAAAGTTACAGTCAAATCTTTACAGAGATTAAATTTTTACCCATTGATGTGGCACCTAAATATACCCCCTACAACTTTTCCAGGGGAAATTGACTGAAATTCGCTTTGTGTTTGATCTCTGCTTCATTCCGTGCCTCTAGTTCACTAGGAAAAAAACACCTATTTCTATGGCAAGTACTAGCCAGTGCTATAAGACACATACACAGATTGCTGTGGTTTCAGTCATGTAGCAAGGTTTGAAAAAGTTACTGAGATGCTGAGAGTCCCACAGCTGTGTTAGAAGCTTAAGAACCCAGTTAAAAAACATGTGAAACTACCAACACCAAAAAAGCTTAAAGCTTTAGAGAACACTAAAGTAGTACACTAGATTTGTAGCCAGAATGCTCCACAGGCAGCCACAGTAGTGCAGGCTATGTTTAAGGAGTTTCAACCAAGTAATTAGCTTTGAACTTTAAGGACAGTGGTGCTGAGAGCCCAAAAGAGGGATACAGAGTTACTGCTGCAACCACATGGTCCACGGAACATATGTCTCTTTTCAAGCATGCCCTCCTTGACTTCCGAGGTTTTGTTTAACTTGTTCCACAGAGAAACAGAATTTTGATACTTTACACCTTGAAGTGTAAAGGCACAAGGCACACAGTGGGTAATGTTCTGCCTGAACGTACTTAATCTTCTAACAAAGTCTGAGAAGAAGCTGTCAGCTGAAAATCTACCAGGAAGACATGCAAGTGAAATGTATCTGCACATGTCCTTCAAAAGCATTCATGCATACACATGGTACTATTTACACAGCAATTGTACCTGTAGTCTCTTTGGCATCATTTATCCCTGAGCAATATGAAGCATTTCAAAGACTTAACCTGTGTTTACAGAGGTAGGAATTCTATCCTCAAAGCAATCTTTACTCCTGCCCAACAACTACTTGAGTAGTGACTCCTTTTCTAGAAATGTACAAATTTCTGTGACTTCTATAGGATCAACGTTCACTTTGCAGAAGTAAAAACCATTCTGAAAACAAGAGCTGTTTCAGAAGGTCCCTTGTGCCTGCACTAAGATCCACAGAGAGATATTCATACATTACCTACTCTGGGATGTCCATACAATATGCCATTTTTCCAAATCTAAAAAAGACCTAGGAAAACCCATAGCAATTAACTTGCATACCTAAGTATTGAGGAGACCAGGAAATGTGAAGCTGCATACAAAACAGTTATTTCAAACCCACAGGCACATGCATTAGGACACAAAGGGCTGCATAATCTCAGTCATATGCAACATAATACCCCAACACTGGTAAGTGAAGCAACCTTGTTTTCCCTGGCATTCCCATAATAATGCAAGAAGTCCACTGATTTGTCTCAATGCCAAGTGCAGACCAAGCAGCACCAGGTACAATGTCTGGTTGTAGGTGATGCTTTTCCCTACTCTTCCTCACCCATCTCTTTCAACACAGCAGTTCAGGGAAATCGCATGCAAGAAGCTTCACCTCTGCTCCCTGAGCTCCTCACTGGAATGAAGCAGCTGATGAGTACTAGAACTAGCTGAGCAAAAGGAAGCAGTGTTTGGCCACTCAAACTGTATTTTCTATTCAAACAATTGTCCCTGTTCCCCTGGGGGTAAAGCAGCAAACTGAACAGGCATGTCAGACTGCCAGATCCAGCCTGCAGGCCATTCAACATCCCACTCACAGTGTGGTGAACCACTGACCTGGACAAGCAATTGGACAGCAATTCCTGTGGTGTTGCCTATGGCAATCACAAAATTGCTGTGTTTATCATCCATGAGGAAGACGATATGATAATGATTGAAACTAACCCACACGACTAAGTTTAATGAAATCTTCTGCATCCCTTCAGAATGGAAAACTTCTCAAACCCTCTAAAAAAGTAACAATAAAAATGTAGTACTGTAGAAATACAAGCTTACCATTTCCCAAACTAACAATTTCAAACTATTTAAAAAAGTTGTAACTAGACAATCTCAAGCAATTTTTACACTACACACAATTGTATATAAGATGTTTAACTTGAGCAGGTAATCTTAAATTCAAAATTTCTTGACTGGATTGTAACATAGATGCCATTTAAAAAGCAGTAGTCAGTTTTGCCTGTGGGCAGTCTGAGTAAATGCTTTGTGACAGACAGGTGTAATGCAAGCTCCACTTACAGGTCTTTATCATCTGCTTGTATCATGATTTCAAGTACTTATTCATTACTCTGCTAGTTCAAGATGAGAAATAAAATTGGCAGTTCCTTCTAAAGATGAGATTTCAGGTTTGGTTACCAAAACAATAAAGGCAGAGATGCTTTCAGATATTCTTTCCTGCCATGACTACTAAAATAGAACATTACAGAGGAGGTAATGTAACTCACTGCAAAAATCTTTTATTTGCTCTGTGCAGATTATCATCAAATCATTCAAACACTCAAAAGGTTCATTCCAGAATCACCCTGCAAAATGGTAAGTGTGATGATTTCCTTTCAGCTTTCTCTCTCTGCCTATGGGACAGGCTATGAATCACCTTTTGTGATCCTATTTCTGATTTTTTTTTATCTTTTAAATACTCAAAGCAAAACCAGGTGCAATGTAAATTACACACAGTTTAGTTCACTTACCCTATGAATAATTCCAGCTGAATGAAGATGTTTGATACCACACAGCATTTGATAAAGAAGATAGGACATTCGTTCATGGTCTAGCTCCATCTGAATCACTTGGCAGAGATTTGCATCCATGAGCTCCATCACAATGTAGCTTATGAAGAAAAAAAATAATCAGATAATACGGCTATTCTATTGTATTTTTTCTCTTGCTCATCCTTTGGCATGAATATTTTGAAAATAAATTCTCAGATTTAGTTCAAATTAGACTTACACATCTTGAAATTCTTCCAGGGATTTTTGTGGTGTGAACACATTCAGTAGGCCGATTATCTGTCAGAAGGGGGAGAGGAAGTGTAATTGCATCACAGAAATAGCAAAGATGCAGTCAACTTTTGAAAACTGGTAACTATTACTCTGATATGAACCTCCTAGTATGCTCTGAGGCTCAAGATGCTCAGTGGCTCAACCAGGCCTACCATGTTGTAGCAGATACTAATGATTTTAGAAGGAGTATATAAAGACACTCTGTGTGCGTTAACAGGATGACATTCAAAGCTTAAAACCTAAGAAGGTTAATCAGTCTTCCCTTCCTCCTACCTTCAGGTTGAAGAGATCTGGTAAGATTTCTATTGCATATGAGGAATAATAAAATGAAAACCTGACAAAGGCTCCCTAAGAGATACCACTTTGCCACTGACAGAGGTGAAGAAAAAACTTAATCCAAATGGACAAACAGATTCTTAGAGCTGATTTAGGACACTTCCCAGTGCTAAGAATGGATGGGATGTGCAGAAACAAGCCAAGATACTACTCATCAAGAGTCAGGAAGGCTTATAATAGTTTATCATCATACAAATTATGCTATTAGGTGAAACTTCCTTCAGAGAATCCATATAAGCCAACCCCATCTGAGAAAAGTTATAAGATTTTCCCAAGAAGCTAGAAGACAGAGTAAGTTTTCTATGACTCCCTACCTCCCTAGCAGCCATCTTCCTGATGGGGGATTAAGAGGGAAAGTGAGGAAGACTGAACACAGCTGTCTCTGAAGGAAGAAAATGGCCAATACCAGCCTTTTGTAGTTCAACTCAATAAATTTATCACTTATTCTCTTCCCATTTCTGTGATCTGGTCTACTGCACAGCTTCATAAGCATAACACAGTTACTGTTGTCACAACACAAGATTCCAAACTCATTCATGCACCAGGAAAAAAAAAAAAGAAAAACCTATTACAGCCTTTTTTTTTTCCTCCTATGTGTCTAGCAGCAGCAACAGAGACAAGGATGCACTTACCAATCATCCTCCTCTTATCTGACAGCTGCATGTAAAACATAGCAATTTAACACTCACTCCCTTCCTGATTTTGAAGTGGGGGCAGGTATTAAAACCAGTAAATAATAGCTCTTCTGATATATCCTTCTGTACTTATCATGGAGATACAACCATGCAATGAAAATCTCTCCTGAAGTCACTTCCTTTTACAAAGAATAACCTTCTAGTTAAATCTTTAACATTTGGAGCAGGACAAGGATGTTGCACTCACGTTTTTGTGATTAACGCACTTCATAAGAACAAGCTCTCTGTAGGCTCTCTTAGCATGGGTTTGGTTCTGAAACGGTCGGCTTAACTTCTTGATTGCAACATTCCTTTCAAGGATGGCATCATAAGCTGCACTGTAATTAAAAATAACATTATTACATCTCTACCCAAGGTCCTTTAAGCTGTGGCAGTTGCAACCTTTTTCATATACTTTGAATCATGTCTGCAAAAACCCCATATTTCCAGTGTTACTCGGCTTTAGGGAGTGTAATAAAGCAAAGTGCTCTCGTATGCTGAGTGATTCAAAATTTAAAAGTATTTCCCAGCTTCAGAGTATTAACACATGACAACTTCTACAAAATACTGCAGGATTTCTGCTTCCAAAGATATTGAGTTCTTGCCACTCACTGGCACCCAGGAACAGATTGCCTAAACAAGATCCAAAATACTTCAAACATGAAAAGCACATCCATTTTACACAAAATCTTCACACCGAAAAGAAGGGAAAAGAGTGGAAAAGTAGGTTATATAAAGGTCCCATGCTTTCACTTATGTAGTTGCTTAATATCCTGATGACAATGAGAGCATCAATGTCAAAACAAAAAGTCTTAAGAAAGCTTTAACATCTAGATGTCACTGGCTTTAACTTGGTAAAAAGAAAGAATAACATTTTGATTGCAGACTAATGTCAAGATTGTCATATGATTCAGCGACACAAGCTGTTTAACTGATGAAGACTGTTACTGGGGACAACTCCCTTACATATCACATTTCCATGACAGGAAGGCTCAGCTTGCTTTTCCTGCCAGAGCTAATACAACAGCTGACTACCACCATGCAGACTCAGGAAATATTTATCAGTTACTAAAATAGTCTCAGCAGGGAAAATACTGTTTTCGTGTCTCTTATCAAGAAAGGTACTCAAACCTAATGAAGAACATCTGCCAGCAAACAGCAGCATCTATTAAATCGAAGGAAAAGAAAATGGGAACAACAGGTACTGGTAACTTTCTTTGATTTACATTTTCTACTGTATCTGGAATTCCTCCACCTGCCCCCAAGACAAGGATTATCTTATGAAAGAGCATTCAAGAGGTGGCCAGGAAAGACTGCCAACCTGGGACTCCTGTACTAGTATTTAAATTTCTGCATCCCCAGTATATAACTGCAGCCTTAGAGCCTGTTTCAATATTAGGCCAACTACTTAATATTCTTCCAAATCAAATTGGATCTATTAGTTTGGTTTTTTTTTAAAACCAACAAATACAGATTAACTAAAAAAAACCCCAACCCAAATCACAAGAATTGCACCATATCTCCTTCAGACATGGACAAGATTTAACTACATGAGCACTCCAGTCCTCCTCAGGGCAAGCAGAGAGGTTTAACTAAAAAGGCTTCCATTGTCACTACCAGCAAGTACAGAATGTCACTAGAGTAATTACATGGTCAGTTTTTGGATCTTAGCTTTAAGAAAATAGGCAGTAACATATGACTGGCAATCAGAAGGACAGTTATAACATCTAAAGCTTTTGCTGGCATTTCTATAGCAACTAAACAAACTTGTCAAATTACTGATTACAAAACTAAGTGAAACAGACTCCTAACAAACCATTTCAAGAAGTACAAGCATCTACAAGCAGCAAATACTATAAAGAGTATTTCTCACTTTTGTTCCACTGCAAGCAGTGTGGATTAGGATTCATTTCTTTATCCAGGTTTTTTCCCCCCATTAATTTACAGGACTCAGCATATCTGGCTGAATTTACACAAAAGGGCATTGACTCAGAAGCTGGAAAGGACACACACCAAAAAGCAACAGCAATAGCCCTTGCTAAGGACAAATGACCAACAGCTACCATCACTGTTTTGCCTGCAGAAGGTAGTTTTCCACATTCTTGCTCAGTGACACACAACACCTCAAGAACCCCAAAAATTCTGTTAAGGAAAACTGAAGGAACGCTTAAATTTTAAAGACACCTTACCATACTATCCCTTGTGCTCCTGATCCTATTGGTTTCAAATTCTGATATCGTTTCAATACAGTGAAAGTAGAGTCTCCAATTTCAACGCTGTAGAAATTGTTGTCACGCTTGCTCCTACTCATGACGGCGACTTAGTTAGTTCAGTTCATCCAAATTTCGCTTCTGGCCTATGAAGAGACAAAATTTGAAAAACTAAGATTTTACAACTGTATGTAATCTGACAAAAGGCAAAATTCCTTATAAGACACAAAAGATACTTCCCAAGAAAGTCCCACACTAAAATGTAAGTTATTTTTCATGTCTGCAGGAATGAGATAGCATGTGTTTGAAATGTTTTATTTTTAGGAGTGTTCCTAAGATAAGATTCTAGAAGGGCGAAAATAACAGAAAGCCAAAAGTGAATGGATGGTAGCAAAAATCTTAGGTGGGAATGACAGAATATCAAAAGGCAGGAAGCTACACATCATCCAGAGAGCTCCAAGGGTCCTACCATCCCTTCACACATTCACATACAGCAAGGGAGCTGCAAGGAGCCAGACACTCTCCAGAGGTCCCATCCAACCTGAATTGTTGCATGAGTCCATAAATAAAAGAGTGACAAGTCCTCCAGATATTACAATCATCAAAATACTCTTGGTCACAACTACCAGGAATACCTGCCACTGATGTGGAAACACATACAGTCAGTCCAGGACAGAGAAGGAAAACTGGCTCGTCAGAGATCTCACATATGAGCTCCTATGAATAAAAGTAATGACCACGGAAAGAGAGAACAAGAGCAAGAGAAAAGGATGTACATTTCACCAAAGTCCCCTCATATTAAAAAGAGGTAGGCTTACTGGAGGGACCCAAAAAGCCTAATTTCTGAGCAATACGTGACACCATCCCCAGCTCTTTCTTCCCTATACCTTTTATCACTAGAGCTTTGGATTCTGCCACTTTCTCAACACTCTGTTCATAGATGTATTTGCACACAGTTTTGGAATAAAAATGCCCAACAGACATATAATGACAAAAAAACCACCCTGAATTAGGAAAAAGAAAATTTATTGCGGATGGTATTAAATCACCCAAACAAATTTTTGAAAATCAGAAAACAAAGAATGAAGACAATAATTCATGTAATTTTACATTTGTTCATCATCAGCTGAGATAAAAAAACCAAAACGGGATCTTGAGTTTATCCACTAAAAATGTATTAAGATCAAGTGACGCTGAACAATGTAGGATTAGCTGGAACAGCTCAGTAAATAGAGGTCTGCTGTTTGGTATCAGCATCAAGACAATGAAAGTTTCATACTTCACTTTGGATAATTCCTCTCAGACAAACGCAGGAAGGACTGTTCCTTTCCCTCCAAGGTTTCCAGATGAATGTTGACACCATTCTATTTAAAGGTCAGTATTTTGAATAGTCAAAGCCAAATATTCAATTGAATTTTCTTTCAATTTGGTAAACTTCATATGATCAAAGAGTGAAACAAAGCAAGTGTAATTTAAGAAAAGGATCTTGAGAGATAGTATTCTCTTAGAAAACAATTTCTTTATATTAACAGCTTTTACCTACATCCCAGACACAGTATTATAACCAAGCAAATTTTATTGCCTTGAAGTTTTGTCAGCTACTACACATGCAAAACTGTAAAACATGCTTGCCAAAATGGGCTGAGAAACTTGCATTTACTAACTATTTTATAATTCATAATAGTATTTTACTACACAGCAGCATATGAAAGAAGTCCTTGTTTATTTTTACCACGGTAAAAAATTTCTGTGTAATCTTTCAGTAATAAAGCTTTAACTCCATTATGAATATATAAGCTTGGCAGTCACCTAGGTACTGCCTATAACCAATTCGTCTCTCTGCTGCAAAGATATATGAAAAAAAAAGCTTAAATTAAGTCTAAGCTTCATAACTGAAAGGCCCACACTCTGGACTATTACAGTAGCTATGGTGATAGTAAAAAAAAAAAAAATTAAGCTTGTTACAAGATTTGGTATCTAAGTTACATCTTTCACTTTAGTTAGGCTTCTTGAAACTTCAAATCAAAAAACCAAACCAACTCAAAACCTAACATAAACCTCAATTAGTAAAGAACAAAGAAATAAAATGGAAAAAACATAACATACTACAAAAGCACTATCAGATTATGGTTTAAAAGGCTTTCCCTGATACTGGATTCTTTAAAATGTTGTTAAAAAACACGCCATACGTTGCACCTGAATACTGAAGACCCTACAGTGCACTGTATCTTTCTACTGCCAGTTGAAAAACTCGGGTTTTTAGTTGCTGATGTATCTATTAAACTCTATACAAAATAAATTACTAGAAAGTTTCAGAGTGCTTCCCCCTTTACTCACAAAACCTGTTGAGTAACTCTTCCTTGTAAGATATGTTCCTAAAATAGTTGTGGGTATTCTGTAAGAGACCTGATCTACCTGGACCCTTCCTCAGACACCCGACTCCCCCTCACCACCATGACCCATCACTACCCTCACAAGACTGTGAGAATTTAAGGTTTCTCAGACTTCTATTTGGCAATATTTCAAAGTTCCAGAAAATGAGTAAAAAGCAAGACCGGAGAGATGACTTTTGCAGTGCAAAGACTGTTTTTGCAGGAAACATTTAGATGAGGAAGCAAGCAAAAACAAATAGCCCTTCTATTACATACAGCAAAACCAAACAATTTCTGCACTGTTTCAGGGAAGGGACTGCTCTCTCAGAAAAAAAAAAAAAGTGTTCAAAGAACTCCTGAGAAACTTCAAGTCAGGGTATAATGCACCAGTAAAAGCAATCAAGACACAGCAGGAAAACAAATACTTGATAAAACTGAAAAGTTTTTGTAGTTCAATATACATTTGTGTGCAGCAAATCTGGAGCACCACTCCAAGTCTGAAAACTCTTCATCAAGTTAAATATATGCTAAAGCATGTGCAACCAGAATCACAGTAATTGGTTCCTTCCCCATTATCCATGAAGTTTGTTCCTATAAGCTTCACATGAGATTAAAAAGTAGGCCTGTAATAATGGCTAAAGCAGAGAAAGAATTCAAAGCACCCCAGACCAATAGTTTGGATAGAAAAATGGTATCAGTCAAACCACGGTCACAAGAGAATAGTAAATAAATGAGGAAGGAGAGGTATTACAAAGTGAGGAAGAAGGAGTATCTCCACTTGCATCTAAATTATCATTCCTTTTTCTGCAGCCCCATGTGCTGTTCATCAAAAATTATCAGTCTATACTGTGATAGCAGGAGGTACAGTTTCTCTCTTCATTTTAAATGCATGCTCTCCTGCCATAAAATGGACTTACTCAGCTTCAGAAGAAATGGAGTACGTTCCCAGAAAAGCCATTTCTTGCACATGTTCTGTGGGGAGCCATTGTGGGATGTAAATAAACCACTTGGACATAACACACTCAGATCAGTACAAAGAGAGGTCTTAAAAAATATGTACACATGTCCCTTGCCTCCAACCCTCTGGTATTCCACCTGGCCATTACAGCTTCCTCAGGCTGACAGCCCTGACACACATCACCTCTGCGCCCCTCACCTCAATGTCTCATAACCTCCACACAGTTTTGTTCATCAATCATGAGAGTGTAAGTCTCTCATTTTATAACCAAGTGTACTTCCACTCAGTGCTTTGCTCCCACTCAGCTCAGAACCCCTTGTGCTCCCTGTATCTTCATCTCACATGAAAGCATCCTCAGAAATGCCTGGTATTGCCAGCTCTGTAAACAGAGCTCAGAGAAAAAAGCCAAAGACTTAATTTTTTCCTAGGTATTAACTTACTGATGACTAGTCTTATGAAGACTAGCTTCAAAGATCCACAACACCAAAAAATCTTAGTCTTTAAATATTAAAGCAAGTCTAAATTCAGAAATTGTCAGACTTTTAAGATTCTTAAATGATGTATACCTTCAATGTTTTTCATTAAAACATGATTAAGCTATATCAGATAAAGTCATCTGCCTGAAATTTGACATTTTGTTCCATTTTCTAGCAACTTTGCAGAAGCACATATGGAAAGAGAGGCAGGATGCAGACTCTAGATTTCTATTATTAATGAGGAAACTAATAATTCATTTTTCCCATTAACTGTCAACTTGCTGGAATGTTGTCAACTGTCAGCAGGGGAATAATCCCACAGAAAACTTCAATTTCCTCTCACACATCAACCATTGTTCCTTTCCTTGAAAATACTGTGCCTAAGCAAATTTCAGTACATGGTAACCTTCTACTGGCAGCCCACAATTAGTCAAAATAAGGGTATTTCAAAACTGAACCCTAAGATAGCACTCTGTGTTTGGCATATTAATTTACCAATTCTTCAGACTGCCCTAAGTACTATTTACCCAAGGAAGCACAACAAAAATGCAGGAATTGAAAGTAACACTATATCCATACCCTAGGAGATCTGCAAGGCTGTGCATAAGTTTTATTCTAAATTCACTAACAGCAACTAGAATTCAATAGTCCTGCAGGAGACTTCAGATGGTCAACAATTTCCACTCATCACTTCTCTACAGCCTGATACAGTTGTAAAAGGATAAACGTGGACACGTTGAACATGTAGCTCCATGAAAATGCAAGAAGCACAGACCTATGAAAGTATCATGGCTAACCTTGAGAGGTATGGACATTCATAAAAAATGTTTCATTGACACCTCTTCCTCTTCCAAAAGTGAATAATGCTACCAATGAAGATTGACCAAAATTCTTCATCCAGCTTTAAAATAAGCACATTTAAAACAGTAAAGAAACCATGTATAGCAATATTCATACCCAAATATGCAAACATCTCACACGTACCTTAGCATGTCTCAACAAGACTGTTCTACATAAACTTGCTGACTTCAAGATATCTGGAAGATAACATAATGCTGTATTTCAAGACTAAATTTTGCCTCTAATACAGAAAGCATTCCATGTATTAATCAAGATATGGGACAATGTATGGACACTATACATTAAAATGACTTTCCAATACAGCTTCAATACACTGGAGAAACAGATGGTTTGGGGACAGAAAGGTGGGGTGGGAAACAGAGGAGCTAATTCTTTGGACACACAGTTTTCAGTTTAAAAGCCCTACTTCAAGTGCATTAAAAACCTTAGAAATGGCCAAGCTTTAAATAAAAAAAAACAAAACTCACAATGCAAAATTATATAAACAATAGGAATATATTTAGTAAACTTGTCTTTGCAGAGTGTATCAATTGATTTCTTTAGAAGGCAGAGAGAGATGGCTTGCTGCTCATTCCAGACCCTGCTTTATTTAATGCTTTTTACACCTACGACACCACCGGTCAATGCTCAAAAGGGGCCCTCACAGTAACAGAGCTTCAACTCTAACTAGCACACTGCAAGGTGTCTGTGAGCTTAACATGTTTGAACCAGAGCTGGCACCAGCGTGGCTCCGTTGAGGTTTACTCTGTGCAGAGCTCGTGGTACAGGCAGTTATCACACCAGTCCCCACTGTGTATTTATGGCTGGATTTGAGCAATCTAACGTTTAGCATTTAAAATCAATCCAGGCTCATCCAAGAAGTTTGGCTGAAACAGCAGGCAACTAAAAACTTGCTCAGTTCATGAGCCCAAAGTGTTATGCACCTGAGTTAACCACAGAAAGTTTCTGTATCCACAATTAGAATTTAATTGGAAACCATGTGCTTTCCACTAGACATGTGAGTATTTACCTTCTGCGCAGCACAATCAAATGCTACTTTTTTGGCTATCACACCTGCTAGCCTTCACATCAACTAGAT